AAAATGTAATGGCAGAGGTCAGAAACAAAATTTTCAGAAATTATACAAGTTTAAATAACAAAATGTAAGGGCAAAAGTCAGAAATAAAATTTTCAAATTATACAAGCTAACTAAAACAGCAGAAATAAAATCTTTAAACTGTAGGAGCTAATAAACTTAATGGCAGCGGTCAGAAATAAAATCTTAAAAAATTGAAGAATCTAACAAAACGTAATGACAGATTAACAAGTTAAATTTACAAATTATAGATGCTATTGCAAGTATCGTGTGTCTCAAATCACTTTCACTGTTGGAGATTTTACATTAAAATCTTTATTCTGTACATAATATACAATATGCATGGAATACATCATGGGAATGATTATCAATGTAAATATATATATTTCTATAGCTTAAATATATAATAAAAATATTACTATATGATTAAATTTTCAATCAAGGGAGGTAAATATGGTGACTTTACATAATAATAGCCCTATATATACCACTGGTATGTAACAAATACAATTAAGACTGTTAGATACTGATTAGAATTTAAGTACACGTATATCAAATTGTTAAAATATTACATAATTGTGCATAAATATACTTGAAAAATAAGAAAAACAAGAACATAGCACCGTTTATAAAAATGCAAAGGTGGTCACAAATAATTATTAAAACTTATTTTAGCAACTTCAGCAACGCTTAAGTGTGCATTAACTAATCTGATACTTATAAATATAAATGTAAATAGATATCAATATTATGAGGTTTTTATTCATTGTTGAGAACAATACTGAATTCTATTTGACAAATTTTATTTGGTGAGTACACAGTTGTGAAACCTGTACCAGACAAGGTGCTAGCGAAGTCTAATCTGGCCTAAAGGTTTTGCAGCTATGTACATGTCCAATAGAATTAGTATTGTTTTCAACAATGTATAATGACCTCTTTACTCAACATAACCACTTTTTGACATTTTAACAAAACTTGGGTTACTTTGAATACAATAAGAAATTGAATTGAAATTTTGTATACTAAAAATGAGGCAAGATAGAGTACAACATGCATTTGAAAAAGGTGTATTGGACACTAAAAAAGAAAACAAGGCTATACTGGGTACAGTTTGCATTTGATATGGACTATTAGGACTCTGGAAATGGAAACGTGGCTAAACTAATTAGATTGGATCCAACAATGACTCCTATTTGGAATATCCCCTGGTTAAAATGCTGAAAGTTAATTGGTTATATTCTATAAGATGTAAAATAAATTTATATCCATATATTTAAATACATATCAATATAAATATATATCCTTAAAACAAAAAGCCACTAGTATGGCAGGTCATTGTGCAAAATTTAAGAATTGTTTTAGCAATTGTGTTTCCTGTAAAACAACTCTTGTTTTCTTATATCTTATATCTCATTTATCTATCAAAATTATATGGCTATAACTTTGGTTAAAAAAATATATGAGCCGTGTCACGACAAAACCAACATGTGTTTGCGACCGGCAATCAGTTTATCAGTTTCTCTACTTGTATTAGGGTTGGTAAGCGAACAGCATGGATCCTGATCAGACTGCGTGGAGGCGCAGGCTGGTCTGGATCCATGCTGGTCGCAAACGCATTATGTTGGTTTTGTCGTGACGCAGCTCAATTATGTATGAGTTAAATGATAACTTGATATCTAACAAAATACATGATTTTATGTTGCATGCACAAACAAACAAAACCTGAATTTCTGGTACATACATATTCCTCAAAATATAATCCTGTTACCACAATTCCATCATATGAAATACGCTTTTATGATAGATATTTAAGATGAAATCTTGCAGAAAGTAAAAGAAAAACAAAAAACAACTTTTATAAACATATAAATTGAACGAAATGTCATAAATCTGATTTCTGATTAATAAAGACAAGCACTTGTCTACGACATGTCACATTATGTTAAAGATATAAAACTCTGTAAAATATAATGATGAGTATTCATAGAGTTGAATAAAACTAAATAACCTAACAAACATAAATGAGCCGCCTCACGACAAAACCAACATAATGCGTTTGCGACCAGCATGGATCCAGACTAGCCTGCGCATCCATGCAGTCTGATCAGGATCAATGCTGATCGCTTACAAACCCTATTACAAGTAGAGAAACTGATAGCGAACAGCATGGATCCTGAACAGACTGCGTGGATGTACAGGCTGGTCTGGATCCATGCTGGTCGCAAACACATTATGTTGGTTTTGTCGTGACGCGGCTCAAATGTTTTTCCCTATAAAACAAAGTTTCACATTCAAAGCACTTTCATTAAAGATCCTGTAACTTAATTTTTTTAATATGGTTTTATATATGATATAATATAAATATGATGCTCAAATGAAGATTTATCAATATTGTAAGTTCCGAGAGGCATTATTTGTAAAGATATCACCGAATTTACATTTCATGTAAATAATGGGAGGTAATTAGAAATTTATTTTCTATCAAGTCTAAGCCAATTTTTTCAATAAGAAATGAATGCATATATTTCAATTATAACTTATAATGCGATTTAACATTTGCAAGTACATATTTAACATATTCTTGAATGTTTGAAAATTGTTTTAGAAGAGTAATAATATACATATATAAAATTTCACTTAAGTGTTGTTACATACTTAGATACAACATACAGGCTTTTAAAATTTGTTCTATTCTGTATATGTACTTGAAATTTACCTGAACTTTTACAGAAAAAAGATAAACACAAAATAAACAATTTTAAAAGAAAAAGAAAAAAAACATCTCCTTTGAAATACATGGCAAACAAAACTGACATAGAATGACCAATATCTGGTTATTATATACATGTGTATCTTTTCATAATTTATATAATACGAGAATATTTTGATTCTATGCTTAAGTTAAATCATTATAAAAATATATTAGATAGAAAACTGATGAATTGAGGTAAAATATCTGTAATAAAATAAATAAATATTTTATAGCATATAATGATACCAAACTAAAGAATAAAACAAAGATGTTATTCATACATTTTTCTATGCACATATGATAACATTTCTTTTTTATTTCAACTTTTGTCTTGGCAGAAAATCAACATATCACATTGGAAATGTAAATTATCCAATTACTAACTGGCCGAGTTATAACTTCAAGCAATACTTAAAACATTAAAAAACAAGGGCACAACCAGCCAAATATCTCTTAAATAAAGAACTCACAGAAAATTAAATAAAAGCCATATCTTATTTACATGTTTTTGTTATTGAAAATTTGTTCATTTTTTTACAAATATAAGATTAGAAGGTGTCTGTTATAAAAAAAGAGGAATACTAAACTTTAACACAGTTTTATATAACAATTTATAATACTGCATGCAAGTTGCTTGTGACATTTATATAATCCGGCTGATGTCAATTTACGTAAGTATTTTTCCTAAAATAAAGTGATTCTTCTGTATTATAAGTTTGTTCTAAAAATTCTTGACAGGTTATATGGCCAAATATAACTAGCTGTATGTAACATCACCTAGCAGCTCCAGTTATATATGCAAACAACAATTTAAAGAGGGTCATATAACCTGTCAAAATATACGGATGTAAATCATCAAAACAAATGAATGTTTAAGAGGGTCATATAACCTGTCCAAAAAAAATATAAGATGTATATCAGCAAAACAAATGAATGTTATATAAAGATGCATTGACTCCCTATTTGATTAAAGGGAAAACTTTGTTTATTTTGATATTTACAAAAATACGAGTATCATACAGATTCACCTCTGTGATTATTTAAATATAAAGTGTAACACTTCATTTTGTAACATGAACATATATACAGTATCACTTTGGTCCACATCTCATTATATAAATAGAAAATATAAAGTGTAAAACTAAATTTTGTAAAATGAACATATATACAGTCATTCTATGAGTATCTTGACCTACAGTTTCGCAACTTTCACATGTATATGGCTATTATACAAGTGAATTTTATTTTGCTGGCACAAGATCACATGCCAAAAGTACACAAGCACCGAGTTTAGATAAAACCACTAGAGACAAATACATGTCATAGATCAATAAATTTCAGGCTCTTTACTGGTGGTAAATGCTAATCAGTTTCGTATAACAGTAAGATAATGATTAAAAAAAAATTTACAATATCACTGATTTAGTGAAGTGATATGAAAGATAATTAATAAATGTGAATAAGGAGGGCTGAAATGTAGTGTGCTGTGAATAAAAAAATATTTATAGACATAAAATATAGTCTTCATGAGATATCAAAAATAATTTGTTTTATCATATATAACAAACTTCAGCTGTCTTTTTTTGTATCAAAAAATTATTACCGGTAAATATAAATTTGTTACTTAATAGATTTTTTTTAATTTATGCGATAGCAAAAACATTTTTTCTACAGCAAAAAAAGATTTTTTACTTTTAGTTTCATAATGAAACAATATTTTCTATCTTTTCTGTGCAGAGTGTGAACACAATAGATATAAAATACAAGTGTAACACCTGAGTGAAACAACTGATTGGAAACAAGTTCCAGACAAATGTAACAGTGTGCCATCACAATGTGACTGTTAATTGTATCTTTGTATTATTTACTATATGTAATTTAGCTTGTTTTCTTATCAACATAACTGTTAACATATTAAAGTCATATGGTAAGGGCATACCGCATTACACTGTCAGTATATTGAGGCCATTGTTTAAGAAATAATATATCCCAAACCGTGATTTTTATCGCTCAATAACATCACTGTTTGGGGATGTGAGGAATTATATGACAAGGGCGTAGCCCGAGTGATATAATGATGCGCATCCGAACGATAAATAGTGATGTTATCCAGCGATAAAATCACCGATTTGGATATATTATTTCGATTGTAACACGACATCAACAAATAATTACTGCCGTACCTGATAATCGCAAAATTGCGCCTGATTTGTTTCCGTACTTATTGTCAGCGCATCGGATTTTATAGTGGTTACGTCACATGTACAATGATTACGTCACATGTCTAAATATAGTCTTGAACGTCAAACAGTGATTTTATAGCATAGTAACACACACTTTCTGTTCTTCTATGTTCAATAGGGAAAAATGTGGGTCGTGTTACAATAAGTTGTTTTATATCTCTGATTATGTATAAAATTAAGTTTGTAAAATAACGCTACGTAAGATCTAGAGTTTTGTTGATCGACAGATTCAGACAGCCATGTTAAGCTGTTGGTTCTAATTCAGCAATTCTGCTTGTATCTGAACTGGTATGATCCTTCTGAGCCTCGTTGAACATCTGGGCCGATCTTCGTCGACGGTTACGTATGAATCTCAGAACACTGAGTACAATCTGTAGAATAAACACCAGAACACATGTCCATGCCGCAACCTATATGATAATAAGAGAAACATCCTTTAGTTTAAACAACAGAACTATGTTACAAACACACCTATATTTTCAAAGGAAATTTTTCAGTCATAAGGCTGCTAGTGTCAAATCATGTAAAATAACAAAACATGTAAAATAACAAAACTCCCCTCAAAATGATTCGCTGATCTCTGAAGATCCTATAGATGACAAAATCTAGGTTAATTAGAAGGTTGAAAAAATATTTTTTTAAATTAGGAAACATACAAAAATAACTACAGTACATATTGAGATACAAATAACAAAATAAGATATACCTGAGCCACAGTGATAAGTTTGTAGTATGGTCCGGAATCAAACATCTTATCCTTAGCTTTATTATGCCACATCTTATTCTCTTGTGAAAAACAACTGCAAATGCAATAATACCAGGATTATAACTAGTTTATAACATTTTACAATAAGAGCTGTCTGCAAAACAGTGTGCTTGACTATTGTTAGTACTTAATGGTGGAATAAGAGCTGGTCCAAAAAAGTTCTATCTGATAGGGTAATATGAAAAGGTCTTTAAAACCATATTTGAAAGTGGAAAATGGTCAGGTCTACTGAATACTTCGGTAGAAGTAGAAGATAAACTATAAACATTTTAAAATACAAGATACTCCACACTTTTGGTCATAGTTTCAAAATACTTCATATATAAAAAAAATACATACCTTCGAACAGTTTTCTTTGTAAGGCCTTCACAAAACTGCAAAAATCCAACAGAAAGAACACATGCTACTATCATAGTCGTGAAAGCAAGCAGAGTGTTGACCAGGATAAATGGCATCACCCACATCTGAGATCTGTTTTAATATGTAATAAATAATAATATTCTACTTTAAAATTGATATAAGGAGTAAGACCTAAATGGATTATTGAATTTTTGCTCCTTGAAAATTAGTGTACAGTATGTATGTATTCTTGACTGCAGTGAATTTTTGACACAACTGACAAGAAGAAAGACATTTCATATCTTGTCATTTACATTCTTACTAATTAAATGAAAAACAAGAGCTGTCGATAGGACAGTACGCTCGACTATTCTAAGTGCTTGATAGTAAAAGAGCCTTGATAATGTTAAATTTTTAAGTTCACAAAAGGGCTAATTTTTTTTTATAAATTCATGTTATAGGCCTAAGAGAGAGTCTAATTATACAGTAATGTCACAAGGGTGTTTTATTGAGTATAATAATACTAATTACCTATGAATAAATAAATTTGACAGAAAAGGCACAAAGGCTTGTTATTAAGATGTTTTATCAAGTAAATCACTGCTTTATTATTATGAATGCATAAAATTGTCCCAAAAAAGGCACAAACCCTTCAGTAGTTATTGAGATAACAGCTTACAAGCAAAACTTTACCATGAATTTCTAAGTTGAAAAAGGGGAGAAAAATTAGCCTAAATGCAAGATAGAATTATGGATCTTTGTCAGTGACCTACAATTATAATGCATATGTGAAGTTTTAAATAAATATCTTTAATAGTTATTGAGACATGTAAAACTTGCATGTAAACATTAACCAAGAAACTAAGTAGAAAAGGGGATATGAATCAGCCTTAATGCAAGATAGAGTTATGGAACTTGGTCAGTGACATATAATCATGACCCTCCAATTCTGACCCTAAGTGCATGTGTAAAGTTTCAAGTAAATATCTTTGAAGACAATATCTTTAACCAAAATTTCTAAGTTTCAAAGGGGCAAATAATTCTGCAAATATTTTAGGCAGAGTTATGCAATTTTGCAAACTGATGTACCTTGTTACTATAAAAAAGTATTTTAAATTTCAATTGAATATCTCAAGCAATCATTGAGATATTTGACTTTACAAAAAAACTTTAACCAAAATTTATAAGTTCCAAAGGGGCATAATTCTGTCAATATTGTAGGCAGAGTTATCCAACTTGTCAATCTGATGTACCTTGTTATAATAAATAAGTATTGTAAGTTTCAATTGAATATCTCAAGTAATAATTGAGATATTTGACTTTACAAAAAACTTTAACCAACGCAGACGCGGACGCTGACGCCGGGGCGACTACAATAGCTCTCATATTCTTCGAATAGTCGAGCTAAAAAAAATCAATGATGTAATTTTTTTACAAACTCAAAATTTAACACAGCAGGAGGGCATTGTTAGGTAACAATCTTAATCTTGGTACACCAGCATCAACTACACACAGGAACCTTTGACACCTACCAGTATATCTACTCATAGGTTCTTAATATCATAAACAGATAATCTTAAAATTAAGTTATTTATATTAATAAAATTCCATTTCCTTCACACACATCTATGAAGCAATGTCATTAGTTTACAAGTCTGTAGTAATGTTATTTGATACATTTATTACATCAAACAGTATTTACAGGCTTTAAGGAATAATACAAATTATCTTGTGTATTATCTATTTATTGTTAAAGACAGGTAGTGGAACTAAATTTGGGTATCAGCAAAACTATTTGAACAGCTAGTGCCCAGTAGGCCTACTTGTCAATGCCAAACATATAGCAAATTAAATGTCTTTATTTCTACCTTATTTATCAAAAACACATTATTAGTACATGTACTTTGTTGTTTTTTTAACTTCTACAAAAAAAGTATTTTACAGCTAAAATTTTGACAAACCCTATTTCCGGATCCTTCATGGACCTGATCACAGCATACAGGTTATATAACCCTGTTCCAAGGCCATAGAATATCAGACCAAACACACTGAAGTATATGGGAAAATTACAGTTGACTGAACTACTCCCAGTCATAACAAACGATGTTGCATTATTCCATTTAAAATCGGCATATAAAATGCACTGTCCCTGGAAATTTATCTGCAAAATACAATAAGAAAGGACAAATTAACGAAATCCATACAATTTGCCAGATCATACATGTACATTTAAAGACACCTCAATACTAAAATTGTCATCTTTTGCTGTGAATAAAGATGAATAAAAGCTGCAAGGAAAAGTGATGCCCAAAAAATGAAAAAAAATGGTACAATACTTTCCTTAACAGGTCTAGGATTACTGCATTTACCTACATATTTATTGACAACCTATATAGTAAGTTTTCAGAATATCAAGACATTTTAAAAGTATTAAATAGAACCGTAGATTTAAAATTGAATGTTAAAATTCACTTGAGCTATGGCTGAAGGCGATTCATACCCTCACCAATATGCACGAGTGAAATTAGAAAGGTATTTGGACTTCTTATATAGATACAATTGTTACTTGCATGATTTCAATAGCAGTAAGGGATTTTTCAATAACATTTGATCAATGTTGTATATTGAATGATCATATGTAATGCAGTGCACAAAGTTACTACTTGACATTCCTATTTCTTATTATTATTTAACTGTTTAAGGTGGAAAAACACCCAGTGTTAAAAAATTATCAATGTTCCTTAACCATTTATCTCACAGCTTATAAAAATTAAATTGTTAATAATGAAAATCTATAAATTTCAACAACTAAAGTCACTGTATCTTTACTTTATCCAGCTTAGGGTCGCAAGATCAGAAATCTCTTGTAACCCCCTCAAGGTCTGACACCCAGTAATTATTTTCGGTAAGACAGTATATAATTATCTGTTAAATTTGTTTCTCATTACTTTATCGAGTCTGTTTTTTAACGGATTAAGCATTGGTGAGCATACCACAGTATCTGGTAATCTATTCCATTCTGGTACTACTCTTAATGAGAAGAAATGTTTTCTTATTTCCTACCACTCCTTACTATTCAAAATGCAATTAATGATTTATGATTAACTTTCCAGTTTTGTTGGAAAACACAACAAGTACCGTTTCAACGACTTCAATTTCAACAACTAATTACAGAATAAATCGATACAATACTAACAAGTAACATGACTATCCGGTTACTATAACAGTTATAGAAGAAAACTCGACTTACTCTGTTTACTCCTACAGGTATTGAGATAGCAAACCCTGCAACGAATGCTGCAAAATAAAGTAATGACTGACATAAGATATGAAAATCAATCATTGCCATCTTCAAAAGCCTTCAATTGCGTAAACCTGTTTGTTTTTATTTTGCAACACTCCTCCTGTTTTTTCAAGCTTCCGGTAACTATATAAAAATGACCTTCTTTTGAAGAGTTCAAAATGCGGGAAATTTAAACGCTGCGTTTTGGCGTCAACTTTACTTTAAATAAAAACTTTTAAAAAGCCAAAAAATCCATGAAGACGCGCTTGAAAGGCTATAAGCATTTTACACAGTACTTTATTACAATGAAGATCTAGTATGTTTAAGACACATTTTGCTTCAGAAACGATTAATGCACGTTTCCTTCTTTAGAACAGCAAGCATAATTAAGTTAAAATTATAATATGCTTCTAGATCTATTTTAATTAATTACAATTCCGAACGAAATATCATCTTTCATTTGAAAATTTATCTTGATATAAGTATTTTGGAAAAAGGTAAATCACTGTCTAGTATGGAATGCCGGTAGGGACATGCCACTTTGCTTATTTGCCAACTACTGAATTGCTTATTTTCTAATTGCTGATTTGCCAATTTGCTTATTTGCTAATTGCTGATTTGCCAGTTTGATTATTTGCTAATTGCTGATTTGCCATTTTGCTTATTTGCTAATTGCTGATTTGCCAATTTGCTGATTTGTTAATAGCTGATTTGCCAATTTGCTTATTTGCTAATTGCTTATTTGCTTATATACATTAATGTAATTGTATGTTGTTGTCAGGAAACATGTCCGACTCGCGAAGTTATTGTTTGTTATAAACAAGTTTTTGTAGACTTTATTTCAAGTTCATGAACCAATATCATGTTATTATTTTTATAAAGTTTTGTTACTTATAACTTGTGACAATTATGATAGTTAGAGAGACAGATGGATAGTTTTTAAAAAATAAATTCAGTTTCAAAATGTAGTTGTTTTTCAATTATCTTGAGTTTCAGTTTTAGCTCCACTATTCAGAGACTAGGGATGCTATTCTACCCGCAAATTAAAGCATTGGTTTTCTTGGTAACTTGTTTTTCGTTACAAGCATGCATACAAAGTACATGAAGAAGCTGTGCCCGTTATATACTGAATGTCAAGGTCACCAATGTATTGTACTACGAAGCTTTTGTTTTTCTGTCATATCTCTATTACTATTGCTTATATCTAACTGTACTTTCACATAAGCATTAAATAGGCAGCATGCATACACATTATTCAAAGAGGTTTTGTCCATTATACCCTAGGTCATGATCATGTCATGGTCACATGATGGCATGTAAAATGTTCAACATGAAGAAATGGAAAAGTGTGATCAAATTTCAAAAACATTGAACCAAAGCAAAATGTTGATGGTCCACACACAGACATAAGTGATTTCAAAATCTTACAAAGCTAAAAACAAAGCCTATTGCTTAAGTGCAAAGACAAACACCCGTGTTTAGCATGCACAAGGTGTATCATTCGTGATACTATGTGTTCGTACCACTAAAATGAGGCCCTACGTGACAAATCTGCTGATAATAACGAGATTTTATATGCCATAAAATAAGAAATAGTTTTGTTTTCAAGTTCTTTTATTTTCAATCTTTACACAATAATCTTCACTTATATATGACTAATCAAGTGTTTATTATGCCATCAATCTCTGACTTAAGCTGCACAAACAGATATTTAGCTGCAACACATTAGTAGTCTGTGTTTTCAAAGACATGTCAGCCATCAGTTGTAGACATATATTTCTTTTGTCAATTGATTGACCAACAGTATTTTGTGGAAAAACACTGAATTTACAAGAATACTGTTGGTAAAAGTTAACAGATCTGTCTCAACTGGTTGTATGTAGTCAGATTTTCCATATACTTCCGGCACAGTGTAAACTATTTCTATTTACAAAAAAAAACAAATTAGCAATTGGCAAATAAGCAAATACGCAAACCAGCGGTTAACAAATAAGCAAATTAGCAATTCCGCAATTGGCAAATAAGCAAATTTGTCATTAAGCCTATCCGTCATTGGCAAATAAGCAAATCGGCAATTAGCAAATAAGCACAACCTTCTACTTTCTACCTTCGCTTAGAGGTTGCAGGCGTTTACAAGTCCTTTGAAAAAAATAGTCATCGATCCCGGTTCATAATCCTGGTAATTTGAAGTAATAAATCTTACAGAACGTATTTGGAAGCTTTCAAGCTTATATTGTAGATCTAATTTGGTGCGGATCCCAAAGCGCACTGGATTATCCAAATCTTGACGAATTAATCTGCGTTTTGCTTCTTGCGGACACATGGATAAGTTTCATTTTAGAAGACCTAGTGTACTTTATGTTTTGTAAGAAACGCATACCCAAGGATGTGGCTCAAATTCTTAGTTTGTTAATGTCTAAACAGTCCTCAAAGCCGTGATTTCTTTATAGCAGTCATCCGCCTGTGATACTAAAATCACTAGATCTATAACTGTACAAATAATTTCAAAAAGCAGCAGAAGGCAAGTAATTGATGGTTCAAATGCTTGGACATTTCCGCTTGAACACCATTGTTATCTGCTTTAAAGTGGATTGGGCCTAGTTCAGGTTTTGTAATAAGTTTGCTGCCGATATCCTGGCTGAAGCCGAGGGGACATGTCATAAAATATGGCACAGGCGACGAGGAAAGGATCTAAGGTGGTGATCCCTAGTACGAAGAAACAGCTTGAACCCCGCCGCCATTTGATGGCACATACAGTCCCACGTAGGGCTAACTTTGTTACTATACGTTTAGGTGCTCACTGACCGCTGTACAGAGCTCAAAATGCATTCATTTGGTTTACACTCTGTGGAAATTGCAGATTTTATTATCACCTTTGTGCTTCTAAATTTACTAACTAAAGACATGACTGGTGACATATATCGGGGTCCACACTCGGCAGCAAAAGCTGCCTGGGCGGATGGACCCTCTTTCAGCACAGACTACATGCAATCAGCGTAGACTCTCAAAGTAATCAGTCCTGATGTAAAGCGGAGTATTGTGCAAAGTGTAATTTGACTTGGTGATCTGCATTATATGACAGTTGTCCACAGCGATCTTCCATTTCTGCTTCCATTCTTGCGGTTTATGATATGCAGGTCTTCTTGAAGTATGCCAGTAATTTGTTGGGGGTATAACAATCTAGCCATCTATTAAGAGTCGAACATTTGCCAGTAATTTGCTGGGGTTATTACAATCTAGTCATCAATTAGGAGCCTAACATTTGAACGGATACATAAAAGATCATTTTTGTGTAGTGTGAACTAGAAATAGCTTTACCGTTGAAGTGTTTCGTATTTGCAATGAGATTAAATTAATTTATGTTATTATGGTCAAAATTATCTGTATATAAAATGGGTATATCTCACGACAGAATTGAACAGATCAATAACTCATTGATTACACTTACTCACGGGTCCATTGCTTCATTTAAAACTATTTTGCTCAAGAGATGCAAATATTTCAGAGATCGTATGACCAAGCTATACATTGTAATTGGTATTGTATCAATGGATCATATCTTATTAATAATAATATGATTTGTATATTTGAAATGATAAACCTACCTAGTTCACCATCTACCTTGACAGACAGGAACATGGATTATGTGACGAAAGTGAATTTCATAGTTGTAGGTTTGAATTAACAATAGCATAATGACGGACTTAAATTGTCAATCAAGGTCCGTGGCCTAATCAAGCCTAGGTAAATATAGTTTGTCTGCAAGATCATTGTCATGTATTTATTGTATCAAAGCACTCTCCAAATGGTTCAAGTATATGAGTTTGTAGTGTACATAAAAATAACAAACACAATGTACATGATATTTGGATAATTTTAATAAATAACATAGGCACAACAAGAAATGATCACTCAAATTGTTTATATAGCAGTTATTCCCCTTTGCCGCTCAAATAAACACAACCCATGGCTAAAATTACATCACTCAAAATAGCCTGTAGACAGACATTCAGAATCTTACCACAATGAAAATATTACTATAACATATTTCTATGCCTATCTAAGCATAATAAAATCTAAGCTTTTCAATTTCTGCATGATGTATTTATTTCAATTACCAACAAAATTTTAATTATTTCCAGTCAATTCCTTTTATTCACTAACATTTTCATACAGAAATTAACTGGCAGGACATATCAATCAAACTCTATATATTGACAGCCTGTAAGAACAATAGCCACACCTTCCTGTTTAAACCTATGATGATTCAACAAGATTTATAGAAACAAATATCCAGTCTTCAACTTTTCCCATCTAATATAAATATCTGGGAAAAAATCAGCTGATCAGCATTAAAACTGTGGCATACCTTAGAAATGGTATGCTCTATTCACCTATAATACAAGTATGTTAACATATTTTCAAAATTCCTTATCAGATTAAAAAAAAAAGAACTTTATCAGATTTAAAAAAACAACAACAACCAGAGATTTGTTGTTCTTTCTTGGTGTATGTAAAAAAATCATCATCTAAAAAGTGTTGCCACAGTTCTAAGTTGACCTTGATAAAGAAATAAGCAACGGCCAAATAACATCATTCAATCTCAAGCATTTGTTTATATTGCAAATAAAAATATACAGTAAATAATGTCTAAAACATTGAAAGACAGACATAATCCTTAAATGTTTTTTTTTCTTTTAACATGATAAATGATATACATATTGGTGTAATAACAGTTGTGCGAGATTTACAGCATGCAAAATGTACAGAAGCAAGGATATGCCACAATAATCTATTACAGGCCATGTTAAAGTCACATCAAATATATCATACTACAACCATATAGAAAAATTCTGGACAAAATCTCAACTTTTATACTATCAATTTAAAGAATTAAAATGTGAATGTTTCTAAAGTAAGTGCTGAATTATTTAATGTACTCATAGCCCTTTGAATTTTAACAGTCCATTGATAATGAAATGGATTTTAAGCCAGCAGTAACTGATATACAGGCTAGCCTGGCCCTATACTGGTGACATGGTATTGCCACTTATACTTACGCTTTCATTTTAAATATCTTACGAGTCAAAAAAGCTCTCTTTATATCACCATTAAAATGTTGTAAAAATCAAGTCTTAAAAATCTTTACAAGATAATTCTTAAGCATCAGACTCAGCAGTTATTTTAAAGAAATAAAAAAAATCATCTGCACATATGTAAAATTGCAAATACAGTAGTCACACATTGCGGTGAAAAAAATATATCCAAAATGATATATATAATATATATTAAACTGTACAATGTTCCTAGTACCATTACCATTTTGTATGCTTGCATCATGCTTACATACATTTTATTCTTTGTTCTGGTTCAAACCTTTGTTTGTTAAGTGAGTATACTAACTCTTTACATTACATTATATACTAATTCTCAAACATTCTGTGTTCCTATGAAAAATAATAGAGATTATTTACATACCTGGTTCCATGATAATTTGTTATTACATGTCCCAACAAAGTCTAGATATGACATAGGAAATAGTGAACATGCATCACAGCAATACCAAATATGTAAATAACCTTTAATAACACAAATATACTCATCCATGTCTAAGGCTTCAATCTAATAACATGCCTAGTTAACAGCCATTATAACCAGTGTTGGGTATTTTCAGTCATACAACTGTTACTTGTGTTGTCACTCCATAATAAATCTATCATCAACAAACTGCGCTCATAAATTTAAAACTACTAACAATCAATGGTAACATAATAAACTGCTTAAAAGTTAAAAAAAGAGAAATTTTGTACATCGAAATTACCCAACAGTGAGGTACATAAATTATGTAAATGACATGTGGTAAGCTCTAGCATTTTGTTCACCAGTAATCTATACATCTAGACAATTACCCACTCATACTACATACCCAGACTATTGCAATTCTTCCCATTTGTACATTATATTAATATAGATGAGAACAAATCAACATAAAATATGCATATCTGAGGCCTGATTGTAAAGAAACTGATCACAAATGGCAAGCACAAAGTTTTATCATAGAAGCACAAATAAATCATTGTCAATATGAAGGCAGCGTAAATCCTACATGTCAGGCATTGTCACATGAAAAGATGACCACCATGTCAAATATATCATCCATCTATATAATCATCCCACACATTTACACTCTTGTTATGATAAAAAAAATCTTTTCTTTTTTTTACACAACAAACGTTTATACCCTAGTTACTGCAAACACTACCTGTGTCCCATAGACATGAGCCTTATTTAATTTATTCTCATAACTTTTCATGTACCAGTGCTTAACTATCTGCTGATGATATGCCAACAAAAAAAGGGGGGTACATAAAACTTGTAGAATTGAAACATTATACAGCAACAAACATGATGAACGAGAATTTACAGCCGATGATTAGGAATGTTATATACTATAAGTTATTAATTAATAAGTCCTGATAAATCAGCACAGCACTTATATACAACGGGTGGGGCAAATATTCAGAATTTAGCTACTTTCACTGATGTTGTAACACCAATATAGCTATTTTGTCTTGAAGTCAAACTTTCAAACCAACTGGCCTAAAATGTTTTGTTTAAATTCTGCAATTGTAACATTGGTAAGTAAAGGTCTAGGGTTCCTCTTTTTAAGAAAAAATTTGTATATTGATGCATAGTATTTCTCTACAACACATACTAGTATATAGTATTACTGTGCTAATCCACCAGGACTGTATATTAATATAAATCAAATATAATTGTTAAGTATTTTATCAACATTTGTCACCGTGTTATTAGACAAAGGACCAACAGTATTGTTTGCAAAATGTTCAAGATTCAATAAATTTTTACCATCATGGTTGTTAACAATGCTATATTAAAATGTGTAATAAAAATAATGAGCAGATTGCATGCAGTATTAAGCATAAGAAAGTATGTACAATACATAATTAAAATATTGAGACCACAATATTATTGTTGTTTGAGTGAATCTATAATCATCATGATTGATAAAGCAATATGAAAAACTCACTGACAATCACCTAATCTTTGTCAATTTAACACATAGTATATTCACTTTTTTTCACCATTATTTACCTGTTAACAGGTATTTTCATGTCTCAACTTCTCTGGGATTTTTTAATCATACAATTCAAAGATCAAACGTTACACTGCTACATTTGCTATAATAATTTCATGACAGTAAATCAAATTGTTCATTTACCTTTTAAAATGGACCTACATTAGGATTATTTTGCTTTCATGTATTCTAAAACCTTTTTTAAAACTTAATTTGCCAAGTAAGGTATGTTGTGACAGGATCCGTGTCATCATTTAACCAACTTTATGTCAGTGTGATGTCAAACCTGCATAAAACAAGACTAAGATATCAGTGATTGCCAGTCAGTCAGTATGTTCATGAGATATCTTTACTTTCTTCTTCTTGGACTAAAGCAGTACATTTATATGATTAAAAAAATGATTCCAATGTTGACATAAATACCCTTAATACTCTAACAGACATTTTGTTAAAATATTTCATTTCCCCGTATAATGGTAATGTAACAATTGGATTTTATGAACACAAAGCTAAAAATAGAACAAAGTTTCCATTTATTATACTAGACCTTTGAACAGGCCTATTTAATTAATCACTGTGAAAATCTTAACAAAACCCCTAAAAGTCTGAAGCTGTTTTTCCATAATATAATTATAGAAGTTACAATATAAACCATGGAAACAATGTTGTATTTTCAACATGTATTTAGTAATTTTAGATCACAACACACCAATACCAAAAGCAACTTTGTAAAATCTTGTTATGCAGTTACGTCACACATCTATGTATAATAAGCTCCCTTATGCTTATTTTTGTATGTACAATCGTGTCTTACATAGCTAATAAATGATGCATGTTACACAAATTCAGCTAAAAATGTACTCTTTAAATTGCTGTGTACAAAGCACTTGTTAGCCACATTACAGTAATTACATAATTAAGCACAAAGGTTTGTAATTAAACCAATCTACGTTAATGTTGAACTGTCTTCACACGTATGTTGATTGTTTCTCTGTAGTATACATTTCTCTGTCACAGGTTTAACAAGGTTGTTCTTGGTACCGATTCCAAAGAATCATAGTATATAAAAAAACAACATTTGTAATGTAAATAAGCTAAAGTCATGGTCAAAATGGTCGATTAGCAAGTTGATCAGAGCTGGCTGTCCGTCCTCGAACACTTAAATCACCAAAGGATCTTCGACTTTCCTGAAATATACAAAACATTCACATAAATATATTTGTCTAAGCTGACATCACAAAGCTTACATCGTTGAATTCATAACATAAAAAGTTGTATCTACCGCAAAAAAATTGTCAAGTTTTCTGTTTTTAAATACCGGTACCTATAAGTTTCTTTTTTTTTTTTTCTTGTAGTATTTAACAAATTGTCCTTAGGTTTGCAAGCATTTGACGCTAGATAAATACATGTTCAATCATCTATCTAAAGGCATGCAATTCAAATAAACCTGCAAAATCTTGTATCCTCAACTAATGTAAAACTTCTTATTTGACTGCTAGTGTATCTAATAGGCAGGAAAATAAAACCCTCCCAATGCATAATAAATAAATACATCATAATACGGCAAAACAATTTTCTTCCAAAATATTATATATAATAAAGTAAAAGTAATACTATGACTGTATGTAAATGATCATTCAAACAAAAACCAAACAAAGTAAAGCCGATTACAAAAAATCTGCTCCCTGAAAAAAAAGCTTCCTCCTTGTAATTGACAACATAAACTGACAACAACATAAAAATGCATCCAATATAAACAGGCTCCAGTAACCAGCATGGACCCCCAAAAGTCATACCTATCACCATCTATCAGCCTCAGTTCTACAGGGGAGATAACTCTAATCCTACCTTCCAGAAACGTCTAGCCTATAAGGGTCAATAATCTTCACCTGGCTACTGGTATCCTGTGTATATTGTTTGCCAGTGGCCTTTTTGTATTGGCTAGAACAATGTACAACCTCCCAATCACCCCATGAAGAAACTCGCACCAATTCGCCTCCAGCAAAATCTTGCTATTACCAACAAAAATATTCTTGATATCAGCAACTAAAATGTTGTCAACAAACTTCATTCCTCAATTAATGTCAGAAATATTTCCAGACTTCATTGTTCCAATAAAAGAAGCTGATATCATTTCACTACAAGATTTTTGGAACTTTTCATTGTTTAAATAAAAGGAGATAATGTCATTCCTGTGTAAGATTTTTGGCAATTAGCTTCATCTAGAAGCACACTGCTTTAAAATTTCATAAAAAAAGAGTTATAAGTAGTAAACTCAACAAGAAACCCAACAAGAGCTAATTTTCTCTGATAGTACATGTATATTAGTATCATGCCCAGTATCTAAGCTGTGGACCATTTATGATGGTCACTTAATTTGGTCAAAGAAAAATTGTCATTATCTGTAGATGAATACAGCTCTCAAATTTTACAAACACAACCTTTGGTACAACTATTTTTATCGGAACAATTTATTTAACAATTGGGAAAAGATACTACTTCCAGTCAGGGATATAACGCAATACTCACCTTACTATCAGCCCAAAGATTGAAATGTATTTTCATGCAAATATGAAAATACAAGACCCCCAAAAAGGTGTCAATTTTGATACAAAGAGCAAGATTTATTTAACTTTTGTAAAGGTCAACTAGGCAATGATACAAACCTGAATCTTAAACTTAGTTTTTGACAAGAAGATTTGTTAAGACCTTAGATTTATGTTCAGGTGTACGAAAACTAATTTCCACATTTAAAGAATAGCTTTTTTTTTGGCTTACTGTTTTAACTATATAAAGCTGCTTACTGTTTTAACTATATAAAGCTTTATTCATATCTACAAATTAAAGTAATCCCCAGCTAAAGGTTGGATATAAGTTGATTTCAAACTGACTGATCACCAACAAAGGGGAATGTGACAGATGGCTTCAACATGGATGGACTGTGGCATAATATATTACATGCAAAGTTCAATCAAATTGAACCTGAACCAGCAACATGTACATTTTAGCTCTGCTTGGCAAGCTTAAAAGGATTTCTACTTGACTACCAGTATTTACAAACAAATTGCTTTTTACTTAATCAAATGCAACTAGCCTTTTAAAATAAGAGATAACATATCAAATTTTATATTCCTGAAGTAAACATATAAAACTTATACTATAGTATAAGATTATACTAATTCTTCATTTCTTTTTCTTCTACAGAATGCATACAACAAACATAGCACGTAGAAGATTTAAATTCAAAAAGTTGTCTTCTAGATACTGTATGCTTGGAATTCTAGCTCTATATACAAGAGTACAGGATAATATTGTAGAGAAATATCACCAGGGCCAAAAAACCCTTCTTTGTAGAGGCCGAATATAGGCTGCTTCCCCAACTAAACTAGGCTCTTTTTTCCCCCCAGTTTGGTCCTTAAAATTCCCCAGTCTTTTGAAATGTCCCATAGAATTTAGAACAAAATTAAATGATAGTGTTGAATTAAGGTCTTTTACTGCCTTGTTAGTATTTCCCAGTGCTTTTTGCTTTTCTATTTTGTGTTAAATTTGAGGCCCCTTTTCTTAAAGTATGCCAAAATCACGCATATTTTCCCCAAGTAAAAGGCTGAGGCCCCTTCCCCAAAAATGGTGTTCTGGCGCTGATCACTTTATATATTACTTTACTTTATAACAGAAGAATATTATAATAGAAGAAATTCCAGGGAGCCTAGCAATAAATAGGTTATATCTATAAATAGGTTATATCTACTACACACAAATGAATAATAAATCTGGGTAACAACATATCAATTATAGAAGAGACAATGAGTGTAATTTCAGCTCAATACTTACATGTAATTTATCATCTTTACTGTTTATGTTGAGCACTGACAAGGAGCTTGCTCTTTTCATGCTGAAAATATACATGTAATATACTATTGAATAATGTAACACATATACAAATATTCAACTACTAGTATATGACCTAGACCTAAGGTTACAAGGTCACATACAACAGAACACCTGGTCAATTTTTGATGAAGGCCACTGTTGGTCATTGTTTTATCTTCCTATCAAATTTAATCAAAGAAATGAAACAGCAAGTTCCAATGCTTTTATAAAATAACATTCATTCATTCGTTCATTCATTCAATCATTTCAGTTATAAAATCCTTCACACTTTTCTTCAAAATTCTTCACATTTCTTGAAGAATATCACCTTCATGTAAGATCCACAGTTATACCTTTACAACAAAATGCAACTGAAATAAATTTTCAATGTTATAGCATTTAAGCTCTGGTTCCAATAAAAAGAAATCATATGAGCAGTTCTTTCTGTACCATTTTGAAACCACTCTATACCCTATCAGACAGACTGATTCTAAATAAGATCACAAACAAATCACATTATGTCATGAAGTAAAGATTGATTTATTTCAAGAAATATATAATAAGCTTATTCTAAAATTTAAAACAGTGGGTAAAGGGGAAATAATGTCTGGGGAATTTTCTATATAAATCTACAGGTAAACTAGCCTAGGTATCATTTTAAGTTTGAACTACAGTGTAACCTTGATACAGCAGCTCTCTGTGTACATCAATAATCTTTTCAATTAATTTCAAAGTAAAACTTCAACCCCTCTAGAGCAACACCCCTCAGCAACAACCAAAATATTTGTTTCTCTCTGCAGAGTTTGTATTTTACATGAAAGCTGTCTTAAATTCAAGACAGCTTGTTACATTCTTTCAACCAATCTATCCCCTTTCTCTATGGTATACTATTCATTTTGAAAGTATATTCATAATTGCCCCTAGTTAAATTAATGCTTATTTGTTCTCTATGTGACATAGGAAGAGATGTAATATATTGTATTTCCTTATGCTTGACCATTAACCTGCTAGAACTGAAAGTGATCAGCCTTTGCCACCAGTACAGAGCCAGAGGAGAAGTCTGACCAGCCTCTATACTGTTACCTGACCATCTTCAAATTTACATCTTGATATTCCCAAAACTGATAAATAGATTATTCACAAATGGATTAAAGCTGGGACAAGTCCATTATAAGATAATCAGCAGGTTATGGGTAAAAATGTATTTTAAAGAGTGAGTTGACTTATCTTATTATATAACACCTCATATTATAAAGCATATATCAAATTACAAGGTAATGATGCCAGCATTATGTCAGCAATGTCATGCAGAATCACACTAATTTAATGTATAATACAGATTTCCTTACAGTCTTGTCATATTTTGTATGTCTCAAACAAGCAGTACAGTATATATAGCAAGATGTAGAGGTATATTTTATTATCAAAGACACATTATGTCTCAGAAAGAAAATAAAATTTTCCTTCTTTAAAAAAGACAATTATAAATTAAATATGTTTAAACTAGAACTGTGTCCAAAGGACACGGATGCCCCCACTGACAATATATATATGGTATATAGTGAAAAAATCAACAAAGGGCCATAATTCTGTTAAATTTGGTCGCAGCAAAAATTCCTTCCTTTACTTCCATCTACACATTAAGGTTGTTCATCCCTGGAAGTTTAAGGAAAATCTGCCATCCGGTTTAAGGAGTTGCGTTCACAAAATTTTTACATAGTATATAGTGAAAAAATCAACAAAGGGCCATAATTCTGTTAAATTTGGTCGCAGCGAAAATTCCTTTCTTTACTACCATCAACACATTTAGGTTGTTCATCCCTGGAAGTTTAGGCAAAATCTGCCAACTGGTTTAAGAGGAGTTGTGTTCACAAGATTTCGGGACGTACGGACGGACGGACCGACAAGTGCAACGCTTTATGCTGGACACTTTGTGGGGGCATAATAATGGTTTACCAGCATGTTAGAGGCTTGTTACTTGAAAAAAGTAGCAACGAATATTAAATTATTTGTCACACAAGTAGCAAAGAGTAAACAAAGTACTATTTTGACTTCCATACAAAATACTAAATCACTATAACCGTACCAATTCCCATAAAGCAATAGGAGTTAAATATTATTCAGTTAATAAATGTTTATTGATCCGTATTTGGAAACTATAACAGGACTCGGAAGACAGAATGATACATTTTCTGTTTTGTTCATATCCTAACTAGTTAAAATTTGATGGCTTAATAAACAATGTTGAACAATTATCTATAATATATACAATATGTATATATAAGTACCAGTATATAGTAATTCATGCCTATCCTGTACTTGTGTCTTGTAGAATACACTCATTGACAAGTATTTTGATGTTAAAACTAATTTATTACTTTAAATGGATAATTCTAATTCAAAGTAAACATATCATATCAATTAAGCAGGATTAAAGATGTCTGAGCCATTTTTCTTAGTAAATCTATATACTACTTAAGAAAAGTTTCTAAATGATATTTAGGTAAATTATGTCTCTTTTCTCATTACACAAGAGAAACCCTTACTTAATACAGACGGTATTAAGTATAATTCTAAATACTGTAAAGTCTCCACAAATCAATCTATCTCAATGCCAGTAAAAACCTTTAAAGTTAGCCAAGAAACCAAATCTCTCATAATACATTATACAAACAGAACCAATCTTCCAATATGGAAGACACAAAACAGGGGAAAAATCTCACAGCTCACTTTTGTCTAATACCCAAAATACTAGACAAGCCATTAAAACATTTTTGTCAATCAAGTGGTAAACACATCTCACACCAAATATTTGCATATCAAATAATTGCAAAAAATGTTGACAAACTGTTACTATAGTAACATAAAACAGAAACCTCAAATTCCAATAAAACATCTCTGTGTCTGTATCAATACATTGAAAACTTGAATTAGTAGTAATCTCCTTCAGAATCATTCTAATTTGTTTGATTATTTTAAACTGAACTACCTATATTCTTCATTGGAAAACTTTTGTCACATGCATATATAAATGCTCAGTATCCACACATAATGAGTGTATACAGAGCTAAAATAAATACATTTTAACTTAAACTATGACAGTTTCTTTGTACCAAGGGATTAGATGAGTATAACATCCAAAGTTTTTTCTTTTATGATATCATAAATGTTATGCATAAAACATGCCTGTTGCCACTTGTATTGGGAATATTTGTTCATTTCTTAAACTCTTTGTATATATTGAGGCAATTATAGACAGGTGACCACTATATCAAGGTTTATATCCAGGTTATCTATATTGAGCTAAAAGGCCATGATAGACAGGTGACCACTATATGCAAGTTATTGTGGATATCATATACATTGCATATTGTTTTCTCATGATATACTAGTACTATGTCAAATGTAGCACTTAAGTTGTCAGTTTCCAACTAGGTTCAGTGATATTTACATGTTGTATGTACATTTTAAATGTTTTTGTATTTTTTCTGCAGTGACTGTTATATCACCAATGTAAGTCTGCATTACGCAGGTGAACAGGGTCATGTTATATAAACAACATACATTTCGTCATTTGATTGAATTATTTGTTGTCAGACTTAAAACAGACAAGGTCACATTATACATAAAGGTGACCACTAATACATATTAGACTGCAAATATAAAATGTTGATCAAACTTATCATGATCTGCAGCCATGACAAATTATTTACTTTTTCTCAATTATATCTTTCACCTTACATAAAATTATGAATAATCGTAGGTAAAGGATGTGCAAGTATATTATCTATAGATATAATGTGTGCCTTATAAATAATGGAATGACTGAGTCAAGGATGTAAGCAAGTGTGGTGATAAATGTTCTTGATTGATTTAAATTGAGCTTAAGAATTTTTGTTTTAACTCTTGATATGCCATGCAACCAGAATAGGGCCAGGCCAACCTGCACACAACATGAGTCTGCCAAGACTCTTCTGTAGGCAGACAGACTACCCTATGTTAATATTTTATTATTTAAATCCATTAACAAGCAATAACTATTACCAGTTCTAATTTAGGACAGTGCAATATAAAAACAACTGAGCTCCTGTAAACAAAATCAGCTAGGAAGACCGAATATTGGGATTGGAAAATGCATGTGCATGTAGGATGAGGTGCTGCATTAAAAAGGGAAATAAATTCCATCTCAGACCTGTTGGTTGCACCCCCAAAGCCAAGACCTGACATATAGCTAGGCTCAGGGCCTCTGCTATAAAAGTTTGACTCCCAACTACAACAAATATGAAACTTTTTAAATTAAAATTATCTTTGTGTCTAAGATAAAGAAATGCTATTATAGAAACACATTAACATGTATTTTTTTCCTTAAACTGAACTGACACAAATTACCTCTTATTCCCACATTGTTTATAAATGAAGTTTAATCTTAGAATATGAAATAATTCAAATCTGATAACAAATATTCTCCTTTATAAAACAGAAGCAGAAATTTCTACTTAACCCATTCTTATTAGTAATTTTAACATACATGTATCAAAAGCAGGACTTAATATACACTTAAAACATTATACAGTTTTGAAATAAGCATTTTAAAAGCTTTAACAATAAACTTCATAACAATTTGTTATTTTACCAAAGGTAAAACAGATTATCAAAAATTACATATTTTAAATACATAGAGCAAAGGTCAAGAAGCCAGGGGTGTGTTAAAGACATCCTATGTTGTATTCTGTTACTAACCATTACAAAAACCCAATATTTCAACCCCTTTATGCATCCTAGTTTACAAGCCCATGTTTGATCATTGTTTTCTGTCACAAAATTGTTAAGTTCACAAGGATGAAAATTTCAGAAGTGTTTAAAATATGTTTAGTCAATGGTCTTGGATAAAATGTTAATAAAAGTAGTTTCTCATTTGAAAATTTGACCATTTTCAAATATTAAGAATAATACATCCACACTTAAGTAAATCAGATTCACCTGAAGAAGACCTGTTCTTGGTATACCTTTTAAAAAAAAATTAAAATACATCTCAAAAAATATATTTCAAGAATCCTACTTTTAAACCCAATTTTATCTTTGAGAATAGCAATGATTTTTTGGCATTTATTTAACAGAAAAGAAAGATCAAACATTAGTTGACTTTTCCCCTTGCATTTGCCGTAATTTAATTCTGTGCATTGTCAAATTCTATCTCAGTGAACATGTAAATACTGGCATAAACTATTGTTTCCCGACACAACAATTTCCTTAAACCATACACAATATACAACACTATTTTTAAGATTGTTATATAAATCTGGATGTCTTTAATGCGTTTATAGGACTTTCTGCTTGATATGGAAGGTAAAATGTTGCATTGCGATGTACCGTGATTGATGTATAGCCATTGACTCCATCTCTACCTCGCGTAAACTGAAACCATCAACACTTCCTTAATATCACTATTGTTATATGCATTGATATATTTACAAATAACTAGTCATTGATGTACCTTTGTACAAATACTTTCAAGTATTAACACCAATTAACACCAATCTAAGCCTTTAGCAACAATAAAATAATACTGGCTAACTCATTTTTTTTTTTAGTGCTCTACCAGATAGTTTCTATTGTTACATAATTTCGTTGTATCTAAAATTTCATCTACATGAGAGAAAGAATTGTCAATATTACTTGATATGTCAGAAACTAAGAAACACCTTCGGCCACAGCTTTAAAGAGAAAAACAAATATATATAGTATCATTGATATAACACACTTGTTCTACTAGAGTAAGATATAATGATTAAACAGAGTTCTTTCCCTTAATCTAAGAGTGAAAGATAATTATCTCCCTTGTTCTAAAAGGAGTAAAAATGATTATCTCCCTTACCTTCCATTTTCTGGATCTGCCTTTCCTTTTAGTTTCTGGACGAGTTTTGCACTACTCCGCCTTATAGAAGCTCGTAATTTGGACAATGAGCCACTTCTTTTAAGTTTTCCAGGCTAAATAGGGAATTTTAACATATGTTTGAATTTGTGTTTGACCTATTTGTGTTTATCTTTTTTTATGTTCATTGTAAAATTAAAGATGAAGTATTTTTTTTATTTCATTTATACTTTTATCTTCTTTTTCTTTTCTTCAATATTCTCAATACCAAATCATTTTTTTTATTTTTTTTTTTGTAATGAGCTTAGAATTGAAATATTACACTAGTCATGGAATGTTTTAAGACTTGACATGTTCAAAATAAAATAATGTTCGTCAAATAACTTATGTACCATTCTTTACATATCAATAAATGAAAATAATTTCACACAAAAAAACAACAGAAATCTGTGCATAATTCAAAGTTCAAACTAAAACAATTTATAAAATGATATCCATAAATAAATCAAATTTATATACATAAAAAAGCCAAAAAAATCCCAAATAAGTTTCAACAAAAAAATGTCCACATTTTCAGATGGTAAAACCCCACATTTCTGACCCATCATGCAAGAGCAGAATGTCTTGAACCAAGTATATGTAAAGCACAACACTGACATTGTACAATATTGAGGCAGGTAGCAAACATTTCTCTTTTTCTTGCAAGCCACTGTACGGCAGGTCATTTTGTATACAAGCATCAATAATAAACTATACACGCCATACTAACATAAATCAAGAGCTTGGAGCAAAACTGTTCTATCTCCCACTTCACTGGAGGAGTTACAACTACCTTGCGCCAAGCCTTTGAAATATTTCTTCACACACTAAAAAAATAGTAAATTGGAGGCGTATTCAGTTTTTGATTTTATTAAAGGAAGAACATGTTAATATAGTTTCCAGTTAGATAAATCTCAAGAATTGTTAATATAGGAGGGAATACCACTTGGCAGAGACAAGGTAACCTTTTTTTTAGATTTTATTGTACTGAAGTATGATCATTTTTATTTCAAAATCAATCTTTACAGTTTTTGAAAAATCTCTTAATAACATGAAATCAAATATTCCAAAATAATGAAGAAAAAAAAGTTATTAAATAAAAAAAATGCCAATACACTATATTAATTATTATATGTGACACTTATACATAGATTTCTATGATGTTACATGCATTATTGACATAATTTATGTTAATTTCTCTGTTAGACTGTGTACATGATACAAATATGTTTTGACACATAATATCATCTCTGATAGAAGCAATCTTCCTATCTACGTGCAAGCAAGCTTTTCACCAAAGCCAAAAATATTTCACGGATGATAAAACTTAATCAAAACTGAACAAAAAATGCAGTTGACTATTCTACAGTGTATACAATGTTTGTTCTTTCTATCTAAAGCCTTGCCTTGTAAAAATGATATATGAGCCGCGTCACGACAAAACCAACATAGTTGGTTTGCGACCAGCATGGATCCAGACCAGCCTGTGCATCCGCACAGTCTGATCAGGATCCATGCTGTTCATTATCAGTTTCTCTACTTGTTATAGAGTTTATAAGCGAACAGCATGGACCCTGATCAGACTGCGCGGATTGGGCAGGCGTGTCTGGATCCATGCTGGTCGCAAATGCATTATGTTGGTTTTGTTATGGCGCAGCTCATATATCCAATAAATAATCAACTTCTTAAGAGATGATTTTGATCAATAATAATAAAAATGCTCTATAATGCTCACAAAATGATATTACTGAATATCGTTTGTAAATGTTTGAAAAAAGTATATTTTGACTCAATAACAACTGTATTATTAACTGTCCTAAACAGAACGTAAACTGTTACCTTGTAATTTAATTTTTACTTAATAAATGCAATGGCAATTTGATCGTCTCTAAGCACACGATTGCTCTATCAAAGTTCAATGTAAAAAAGAAGAAAATGTAAGTAATAATTATTGGTATATTGTATGAAAAAACCTGTTACATGTGTGCGTTACACAACAAAACATCAAAGCAAAATACGCTACTGTACCAAAAACAAGATTGGTATATAGCAATAGGAGGGGGTTAAAAGGATTCAGATATAAATGAAAAAATACCTACATTTTTTTTTTTGGACAAAATGCACGATACAATAAAAACCCTGCCAGCAATGCACGTGAAAAAGAGAAATGATGCACAGCCTATGGAATCATTCCAACAGTTATCTTAATACAAAAAATACAATTATCAAAAATAATTGTAATTATTTAATTCTCCTTTATGCAGACATAGCAGGAGTTTCAAGAGGTAAATGTTTTAGATGAAAAAAAGTCCCATTATATCCGTAAGATCATGTATAATTACACATTCAAGTAATCTTTGAGAGAAAAAATGAAAAACACACTAGTCTGAAATGAGGTAACAGAATGGAAAAATAAAATATTCAAGATGCAACCACTAAAATATATAAAATATACATACATTATGCAAACATCAAAAACTGAAAATATAGTGAGATTTTGCATCTAGAAACCCGCCCATCGCCCTTAACTCCAAATTAAGAAATGTTTCCTGGTTGAGCCCGCTAAAATTTTGATTGGCTTGCCTCATGTTGGAATGGTTCCGCATCAGTTGTGCTCCACTTATACTCACCAAAAAAGAAGATAACCCCGACCAGGATTTATCTATACTCACTTCGTCTCCCTCCCCATACCCACGATCATATATGTCGGAGGAGTCACGACGGACTCGCTCACGACTGTTTGATCGACGGCGGAAATCTTTATTGTTTTGGTTTGCGTACTCGCTGCCCAGTACTTCAGCAACTTTGGCTTGTCTGACCACATCAAGCGCCTGATGATAAACCAAAACTTGGCATAAAAAGCCGGCTAACATAAATAATAATGAAGACATATTTCCGTGGCAATGGCTTGGCCACTCTCTCTGGAGAAGAGCGATGGACTGTTGTTGCTAGCATGCAAGCATTTGATATATTAACATCGAGCTTCAAATCATAAATTACATTCACTATACATATCTGAATACAGGTTTTTTTTAAAATAACACAGAGAAATCAAGAAATCGCTTTGTAATATGTAAACAAACAGGTACATGGTAGCTCTTACATGTCTTGTATTAACGTTGTGGGTGTTTTTAAACATAAGTGCATCACTGGAAAATGAAGTGGCTCATTGGTCAAATATGTGATATTATAATCAAATGACATATAAAACATGGGAGTAGAGGAATTATTTAGATAAGTCCAGTTCTATTAGAAGTTTGTGCAGCTTCAAAGAAAGACTGGCCCATACTTATATAATTAAACCTGTCTTCAACTTTTCTGGATACCCTTCTAGTCTATTTTACTTCATAACAAACTATATTCCAATAATAAATTCAATACCTTTTTTTAAATTTACATTTCTAAAACTTGTGGGCCAGTCTTTACAAATCAACTGATTTTATTTTCTTCAATCTTACTATTTGTGTGCAATATTATGTTAAAGTTTGCAATGGTTTATTTTAGGATGAGGAAAGGTTCGATTAAGCATCTATTAACATAAATTTATTATTAAACACAATTTTTTAAATTTGACTTTATTGTAATCATTAAATTCTCATATTGGTTTTAAAAATCACTAAAATGAAACAGAAACCAAAAAGTCATTCGCCTTCACCATCATTTTTTCTTTACTAATATAATTAAACTCTTAAAATCCAAGTGTTAAAATCTGTAAACTATGAAAGTATGGAAATATAATTAATTTTCAGTGACAGCTGGTTCAGATATTGAGAGGTATGAATTAAAACACTTACCACGCCCTCTTTCACATATACTTCCCTAGTCTTATATATATATAAATATATCATGCAATTCAATATAGTATAAATAGGAAACATGAAAACTAAATTCTCTCCTATTACACTGAAACAAATCATAGTTCAATACTTTTCTTGGACCACAACTATTGTCAAATTTGAAACTTCTCTACTTGATCTTGTGTAAGTTTTTACCAAGATAATTGCATCTCTTTCACCATTATCATTTCAAAAGTTTATTCTCCAATTTCAATAGAAACACATTATTAGATAATTAGTATTAGTAGAGATATTTAAAGACATTGGTTATCATGCTAATTGTCTTTTGCAAGCTCCTGTCTACTTTATTACAATATGTTCATTGTCTTATATGAACTTTATCTTCATCAATCAATAAATATACTGATCCTACTTAAGTCATATACATGTAATATTCCAACATAAAGCACTGTTCTACTGTCCAGTATAAATCTAGGCTGTAAACAGAATATATATGCTAGATTGTTGCGTTGTTTTTTTTACCAAAATAAATAAGGTATTATTAGTGCTAACTTAATTACATTATATATTCCATAGTAATGGGATTCTATCTACAGGTAGGCAAACTAGGTTTTAAACTTTTATAACAGCAAACTCTCTACAATGAGCAAGTTTCAGTTTAAAAAAACTTTAAAATTTACTTTACAAATGATCTTATGGGTAACAGAGATGTATGTCTTATGATATAAAACAGAAAAATATCTGAAAATTAAGTCTTGGATATGGTCAAGTTTGTACATATATTCCGGTTTTCCAGCAAGAGACAATACTGTCTGACTACATTGGTGTATCAATACCAGGCAGACATGATGGATGACATGTTACTTATGACAGTTTTCTGAGGATATAATCTACATCTACATGGTAGCAAGTTGTATGAAGCTGTATGCCAATATTGGACGATAGCTCATTTATCTCTAATATCACCTCACTTTCTAACCACACTAATGTTTAACTACTGACAACTCAAACAATTTCAACTTTTTAGCCAGTAAAACTCATTGAAGCAACGATGTCCAGTAAAACCCTACAATCTGTGAAATATTAAACTTACCCCCCAAAAAAGTCAAATGCATTTGAAATATATCAACCTATCAAAGAAGTATTTCTGATATACAGCTTATACTTAAAAGTCAAAACAGGGGAAAATTGTTTATATAAATGTTCATGTTCACTGATTATATCATCCTGTTTGATTCAGTATTCACAGATTGTATGATTTGAACCAGAAAAAGCATAGTTATAACACTCGTACTTACATTTTTCTTTGAGCGGATGGCCCACTCTTCTAACATATCAGCTGCGGCACATTTGCCTTGACGACGGTACAATGCACCAAGATTCTTTAGAGTTGTTGTTACTGTAGGGCTGTAACATATGTAGATACAATAGTATAGCAATATGCTTATGATAGTGAAGATATACAGCTATTTTTTTCAATCCCTAACTGGAATGGATAAAGATCCACAAAATTTGGGAAACTTTTCAATAATAAAACTTGGGAAAAATTGGACAAAAAAAACCTCACCAAGTCACAACATTTCCCAAATTATGACCTTCTAAACAGTTTTTCAGAAAATACAGCAATTTTAAATGATCAGGAACAAGTCAGTTCTATATTGTTGGCTGCTTTATTAGCATTTTAACACATTTATAGTAAGAAGGTTCAATGTCAAGACAGGCAAGTTAGTTTTACAAATTTTCTGATGGTTATATCAATAAAGATATCAATATGATTAAACATGTGTAGAAGCAAGATCAGTGAAAGCTGCTGTGTTAACATCTCTGTAAGAAGACAGAGATATATAGTACATGTAAGTATATAGCAGTATTTAGAATGTAGTTATCTTTCACTTTATCACAGATGATGACTCAACTATTCTATCACTATATCCCTCTTGGAAATTAAAAAAAAAACTGCATAAAGAAACAAAATCAAGCTTTTTACTTCATATAACTGAAAGCGAATTGGTTATACCCCTATTTTAAATGAATTTTCTGATTTAATTATGCAACAGTATATATAACTGCCTTTTAAAAATTGAAAATATATGATTTTTAATATCAAAATGGGAATTCTAATTCTTTCTCTGCTCTTCATTTAATCAAACTATTATATAATAATTAATAATACTGGGTTAATTCTATGAAGCGAACTTTAATACTGTTTTTCAATACTGTTACATTCACATACTGGCAAATGAAGCCTAGTATTAAAATATAGCATTTTGATATACAATTAAAACAAAGTGGGATACAGGCCACAAGCCAAAGTATTCAATGATATTGTATCTCTTTAAATCTACAAATAAAACTGAAGAGGTAAGAATATAGGTTAACTAAAATTCAGGCTGTATTATAGAACCATTTTCCCCATAAGTCTGAATATATCTTATATCTTACGGTGAATTGCTTGCTGATGAGCTAGGCCTGTGAAATAACATCAATACAAGTATTTACCACAGTAATAAAATTAATATATTTATAAGCGTAGGAACCTGAAAAATTTACCAATTATTTACTGAAAGTCCAATTACATTTACAAAGCCAATACCCATGTATAAGAATCTCGGTTTTTAATGTGGGTACCGGAATTGAATCTGTAATTATACTTTGCAGTTAATTTCAGGGTTCTGTGCTATAAGTAACAACATGTAGAACTTTGCTTGAGGTTACATAATTTATCAACTAGAAGAAATCCTTATGGTATACAGTCAATTGAATAATAAATAAAACTGACATATGCATTAGGGAGGAAAGCATACTTTCAAGACATGCCTCACAAAACAGCTACATACATTTTGGCATATTTCGGCTGAGCACTCAGGAAATATCTTAAAATGCATTCAAATACAAATTCAAGTGCACTTTCATGAATCTCTTTAACAATCTATTCCTGTTAAAATGCAAAGTAAACAGCAATATTTATTATTCATAACTGATACTTATACTCTGAGATATTTAAATCATAATTATAGAACCTTAAATTTTGTAAATGTCTGGCAACTTTTTTATGTTAAAATAAAATACAAGTATAGTAACATATTTACCTATCTACTTTAGTTGCTTTATGCCAAGCTCCATACTCTGGTGGACTTTGTCCATCCTTGTATTTTCCCTGAAATTATATTGTTTCATTTTAACAGCTTTCTCTCTAACAATCTATCTATGTAGCATATTCTCTCTATAGATTATTAAATTTCTTCTTCTTCAAATGTATACATATTGTATACCCCTTTATAAACACCACCACTATTTTTACCAACCTACAGACTCTTCAATGTGTAGAATAGTCAATGTGTAGAATAGTATATTAAATTGAGAATTTCTTATACCTTTTTTAATGTCTACAAATATATACCACCCCTTTTGCAATATGCAACTTTCCAGAGAGCATTTATACAGGGTAATACACAGCACTGTATTTGATACACTTATTGATGAAGAATATCTGTCATCATTCAACAGAGATATATTACCAAATTTGTAACATTAAACCTTGTTATAAGTAATAATTGAAATATCATGATAATCAGGGCTCTACAAATTTTTTTGGAATAGAGTTGTCCAGGACAACTGACCTAGCAAAATAGAGTTGTCCCAAAATTGACCACAAGTGTCCAAGTCTCGGTAAATGTTCAGTATGCATAGTATGTATACTATATCCAAAGAAGAAGTAAAAACAATTAATTTTTTAATATTTTTAAGTTACATTTTGTATTTCATTTAGTATAAAATAGAACATTTGGTTTCAACTGAAATAGTTTTGATTGTTCAGCACTCTTCCCAGGTACCTTTCAGCAGTGTTCAAGTTCAATAGCCTGTGTAGGCCTATATGTTTTGTTTCAGTTTTATTTTTTTTCTGAATTTTTATCCTTGATCTTGAAATTTAAGTAAAATTATTCCAACATGAATTTAGTTAGCCATAGCCTCTCTCAGTTTCCAAATTTCACATTGGACATGGTAAATAAGAAAAAGACAGTCATTAATATTACCCGTTAGGGAAATATAAAATATGATAGTGAATTAGACTATTCAAATACTTACAAATCTCATCATTATTTATCTTAACATTGTCAAAAGTCCTTTTGATTCATAAGTAACAAAAGATTTTTAATATTTCTACTTGCTGCAGAGCTTTAAACTTATTAAAACTGCCTCACGATTTATATAAAAAATATCGGCATCGCGAAAATATGTGACAAATGAAAATTTTTGTTTTCCTCATAAATTATACTATTTTGACTATTGTATGTTCGAATGCATTCAAAATGGATGCTTTTTGGATATTTTAATATTGTTTTCCACTAAGGAATTTATCAAAAAGCCTAAAACAAAAAATTCCAAATTTTCAATTCACGGCACAAATTACTGTCTGCTTGTGTCAATATATCAACTTCAAAGACCAAGTCTGTGACTTAATAATGTTTTTGAGATGTCTAAAATAATGTTGGACTTTGTCTTTAAGATTTTTATCAAACAGTTAGTGTCTTATCTATTTTTATTGCCTGTGGCAATGTAAAATTAATCAGCGTAGCAACTGCTGAGATTGATTGCCTCAGGCGAAGATTACCGGCGCACCATGCTGTGAAGGGTCGTATTTTACAGTTGTCCAAGATTAGCATCTGTCAAAATTTGACTTGTCCGGGACTAACTTTCTGCTTATTGTCAGTTGTCCCAAGTGGTTTTAGAGTTGTCCCGGACGTCGGACTATAGGATTTGTAGAGCCCTGATAATATCAAAGTGTTCCTTCTGTATGGATGAAACTCTTTCTACAATAAGCCAGTGGATATATATATCAGAATAGAATTGAGCCACGTCATGACAAAACCAACATAATGGGTTTGCGACCAGCATGGATCCAGACCAACCTGTGCATCTGCGCAATCTGATCAGGATCCATGCTGTTCGCTTACAAACCCTATTACAAGTAGAGACAGCATGGATCCTGATCAGACTGCGCGGATGCGCAGGCTGGTCTGGATCCATGCTGGTTGCAAACCCATTATGTTGGTTTTGTCATGACACGGCTCAAATCTAGATGCAAAGCTTTCACCTTACAGATTAACATTATTAATTTCATAATGGTAAGGCATATATATTTAAAGTTACGGATAATTTATAATGGTAAGGAATATATTTTAGGCATATGCATTTATAACGACATTTTCAATGTAGAAATTTGCATAAAGTAAGTACATGACCTGTCTCAAAGCATTAACAAGACTGGAAAATAAAATGCACAATATTACTGTAAAGTCTGATTATTGTGTTTATAATTCTATAAAGCAAGAAGCATTCTGAAATCAGCTAATCATTTCTCATCTATTTTGTATTTTATTATCGCTTAAAATAAGCTAGGTCCAAAAATATGTTAAATACATTCTCAATTTGACTTCAGGTTATGGCAAATTAATTTTCTATTGCTTACAGCAAAAGCCTTTTTTTCATTATACATTTTTAAACTTTAAAAATCATAAATAAGTACACTTTGGAAGTCATGCATTTAAAAAAGCAATTATATTATCAGATAAAGGAGTTTGATTGAATACAAAATGCAAAAATTTCATGTAAAATAGCAATAGTGGCGATTACATATCTGGTTTTCTCATTAAAAGAATAACAAGAGCTGTTGGTAGGACAGCATACTGGACTATTCTCTGTGCTTGACAGTAAAGCAAGTACCTGGATAATGTACCATAAAATTTTCCTAAGTTAAAAAGACCATAGTTATGTCAAAATCCATGTTACAGTTATGGGCCTTGGTCAGTGATCTATTATGCTTCCAAATAAGTGTATGAAGTTTCAACCCATTTCCTTCAGTACCTCTTTAGATATCATCTTGCACACAAAAACTTTACCAAAGTGTGACCCCCCAACGCCTGGGTGAGTACAATAACTCTATTCTTTGAATAGTCGAGATCATTAAACAAGAGATGTCTGTGTATACAAAATACACATAGTCCAGTGTTTATCAATAGAACATAATGACCTTCACCTATTGACCTTTACATGGATAGAAACCAATTGAAGACATGAATGGCTTTGTGGACTGAGATTTTGTTTGTAACTTGGGCAACCATTTTAAAATTATATGTATATGAACTTTCTTGTATTTAGTTGGGTCTGCTATAGGGAATAGATCGATTTACATCAATATTACAGTGCATATAATGGTATTAAACATGTTAATATTCAATAAATATAAAATGATTTAATAGAAAACAATCATAAGTATTAACCATGTCATGCAAAGCAGTACCAAGTGTAACACAGAAATAGAGATTTCAACTGTGCTTCTTGATAAGGCATTGCATTTTGACAATGTCAAGGTCAAAATCTTAAAAAGTCATGAGTGCGAAACAATCTGCCTAAGGATATTATTATGGAAATAAATTTAATAGAATGATAGGAGAGTTGAATAACAGACAAATACAGGCCATACAACTTATCAAATCTATAAAATATAAAATAAATCAAGAAGGAAACATTCACAGCAAAGCCAAAAAGCATCACTCAAACACATACCAGAAGTTTTTGTGCTAAACTGGATGACTTCTGAAATGGGGTTTTCATGAAATGAACATGATAGTATGATAAAACTGAGCATGAAAAATAAAATAAGCAAATAAAAATTTTTTTAAGAAAAACATAAAATTCAAGGGTTCAAATGGAAATGATCAATCAAGTAAAAATAATTTAATAGTCTGGAAAATGGACATGTTTTGTTTTTGTAAGTGACCTTAATGATGTACAGGTTCAAACCCCAAAGGATATTTTCTCAATCAATTTTTTATAAAATAATACCATCACTAATTCTCATTAACAAACATACAATCTTTTTCAAATATAAATATAATTAAATGCAATATCAAAAGTATTTGTAATAATGCCTCTATGTCAAATTGTTCACATGAATTATTTGGACAAGCAACAACAAAATGACTTCAGACTTATTGGCAACAATATAGGTACAGACAATATGTGCCAAAATCCAGGATTCAAACCTTACTTTTGACTCCTTGTAATAAGACACGCTATAGATTAATTGACTGGGGAAAAAACTAAAAGTAATCTACACACACTTGACTCTACATTAACTATATTATTCTCTATCAACAACAACTTGGAAACAGCTTTGAAAAAACAAAATAACTCAAAATGTTTAATGAAATGTTTGAACATAAGTACAGAAATGAAGCATGATTAAGCTGTCACACTGAAGCTAAATAATGGGAATATATGGGGGGTAAATAATATATACCTTGTTTTCTTCCCTCTCTTCTGCTTGCATCCAGATTGGCTTGTTATCACCTGTAATATATAGATAAATACAGGAAATCAGTTATTCTACTACCATTCAAATATTTCAACAAGATAAACAAGAGCTGTCCGTAAGACAGCGCGCTCGACTTTTTTATTGCTTGCCAATAAAAAAAGTTTTTGCAGTAAAAGGCAATACAAGAATCTCTGTATTTTTAAAGTGAACTAGTTGTTTGATACCCTTGAATATTACAGCAATGTTTATATGACATAATTTATGGTAAAGTGAACAAGTGGATAGGAATGAATTTTTTTAGATTTTTTAAGTTTTTTAGTGCTTGCCTATAATACAAAACATTGACAGTTAAGGGCCATAATTCAAATAAAATCTTTGACAGAATTACCTTCTCCTGGACATGTTTGGGAATCATGATTGTAAACAAGTATTCCAACTTTCAAATTAATATCTCAAACAGTTCAGTCAAAAAGTGGACTGGTACTAAAAACTTAACCAAGATTCTAAGTCGATAAAAGGCCTTAATTTTTAAAACAAATCCTTGACAGAGTTACCTTCTCTTGCGTACAGATGGGGGTAATGATGTGAAATAGCATTAAAAGTTTCAAAGCAATATCTCAAAGGGTTAACAGGGCTCAAGCTAGGTTCAAAATTTAGGGAGAAGTCACTTCTCCCTCCAGCTGATTTAGGGAGAAGTGGGGAGACTTTAGGGAGAAGTGAGGAGATTCATTTATCGATGTTTGTTGTATGTTATCGCAATTATGTTGACTCACTGTTCATATCTTATTAAATGAATTGGATTTGTGTTACAACAGAATATTCAATTTTAATTTAAAACAGAGACATAGATAGCTATTATTATAACTATTGTTATCTATGTCTCTGTTTAAAAGTAGTTTGAAACAAGTAATAATTAAGAACGAGTATCATGTAATGCAACCATTGCATTAAATGAAGATAAAAAAAAAGCCATAGTTGATTCCTATAATGGATCATATCATGGGTGGATTAACAGTTATTCCCTTCTGATTTACTATTAAAAAGCTTGCGCCGGACATTATATTCATATTCACTTATGTTGACATTGTTGTGAAGAAAATAAAAGAAGATAACGAAAGAAACGATCTTTAATTTCACTTCATTTGTAATAAATACAGTGTCATACGCCGTTAATCTTATCAAATTTAACTCGTCGACAAAAAAGGTTATCATAACTTTCATTTAAAATTACTATTACAGTTATATGTCGAGCGGTTCCGCTTAATTCTGACAATCATTCGATGGTGAAAATTTAATTGACGTTTGATCCGTCCATCATAAATAATTGTTACAGGTAGTTGTATGTTAGCGATTTAATGATTGGTTAAATAATGTCGCCTCGATTAAAACGTGAATTACGATTGGTTTCTCGCACGTATCGGTAATCTCGCCGTGGGCGGAGTCTAATTGTTCCTCGAGCGTCTGTTAATTAGACTTTTATGACATGTTGGTAAACAAACGGAGATCACAGGTCCCTCACCACTGTGGGTTCGATCCTCACTCGGGTCGAAATCTTTCATGTGAGGAAGCCATCCAGCTGGCTTACGGAAGGTCGGTGGTTCTACCCAGGTGCCCGCTCGTGCCTGAAATAATGCCCGGAGGGGCACCTGGGGTCTTCATCCACCAATAAAGCTGGAAAAAAAAATCGACAAAAAATCTCGGCGGGACGCTCTAGGATGACCCGACTTGAGTGTACGGTCGCCCATATGGGCTTTCCGGCGGCGACCTTAAATAAACGCATTAAAAAAAAAAAAAAAAAAAAAAAAAAAAAAAACGGATTAAAGACATTTCGCGTTGATTGAGATGCATGACAGTCCCTTTTTCCGGCGGCGAGGGTAAACAAAGCAAACACACACCACATGTTATTCACAGTTATTGTTGGTAATTTACAATAATGGATCAATAAAATCGGGCGACTTCATCTTCGCTTTTATGTAGGATGTCGGCGAAGTCAGACGGAATTCGGCGACTATTTCGCCCGAATCGCCCAGTAGCTCGAGCCCTGGTTAAGGCAATAAGTGGATTTTACCCATATTCAATGTATTTTCTAAGTCAAAAAGGGGCATAATTCTGTCAAAAACCTTGACAGAGTTATGTCCTCTTGTCTGTTGATGAAGGTCGTGATGGTAAACAAGTATGGTCAGTTTCAAAGCAATACCTCCAATGGTTTTGAAATAAAGTGAGGTGGTACAAAAAACTTAACCAAGCTCAATACACTTTCTAAGTCAAAAAAGGGCCATAATTCTGTCAAAAACCTTGACAGAGTTATGTACTCTTGTCTGTAGATGGAGGTTATGATGGTGAACAAGTATGGTAAGTTTCAAAGCCATACTTGTAATACTTCTGAAATAAAGTGGGGTGGTACGAAAAACTTAACCAAGGTGTGACGCCAACGCCGACGCTAACGCTAACGCCGACGCCGGGGCGAGTAGGATAGCTCCCCTTTTCATAGAAAAGTCGAGCTAAAAACTGCACAATATAACACACTGTTTTTGTCTGTTTTGTTTTTCCGTCACAAGAAGATTTTCCATACTTTAAGGTCCCCATTGCGCCTTCGTAAGCAATGCTGATTAAAAAGAATCTCAGACAAACAGTATCTTAATTAAAATATACATACAAACTAGTCCTTGCTAAAGTTTCACATAATTCAATTTCCCATACACAAAAAAAGGCAGCTTGAACAAAACTGAACAAATAATTTAATAAAATATTAATTTCAGTTGCAATGTAATTTAGCCAATCAAACTTTACCCTCTTGTCAGATTAGTATTACATTAAATTACAAATCTGGGACATTTCCTCCATGTAATTCCCTCCCCCCCCCCCTTCCCCCACTTTTATACAGCAATATCTCTAAATTAACAATTTCCTGCTAAATTTGAAATGGACTTGTCTTACTTTGTATTTGGAACAATCCAGGATCAGATTTCAGGATCAAAATGTTAGAGGATTTCTGTATCAAAATACTAACACTGAGTATCCAACAGTCAATTGAAACTTCAGTGATTTGCAAACTGAACCTAGCACTATCCTTGAGGAAAAGCCATCACTTTATTTCTGCCTAAAATACTAGAGTTAAATATATTAAAACATACACAATGTTGAACACTCTCTTACCTCCAACTTTTCCAAATTCTTTTTCGTGTGCACGAGTTAAAATTTCTTTATATAAAACCTCAGCTTGCTTGTATTTTCCTTGTTTTAAAAACGCTGAAGCCTACAAAAAGAAGAATTTAATATAGTGTGTTGATAAATTGATAATACTCTCTGTTATATACAGTTTATACATTACCTGTAATCAATCCCAGTTCAATATGAATGTTTATAAAATCAGTGTAGCACTGCCATGTATTTTTTTTTATTAAAATGTAAAACCTTTTTTCAAATATAATTTTACTGAAGGACACTTTCTTTTTCATTTTTATGTAAAAACCTTTAGTTATAAGCAATGTTATGTAATTTCATCTTGCTGCTTTAAAATTTTGTTGCTAATAAACTCCAGATTTCAAGTCTGTTCAAAATCTGGCAATAAGGCTTGCAAGTAAAATCTACGTTTCAAAGTCTATTTCTGTCTTTTTATAGTTTTGCCAGATATTCATCTAACAACTTGCAAAATAAATAGCGATACATCAAATATGAAAATGTTTCATCAAATAATGAGCGGCTCTTTGAAACTTGAAAATGGTACCCAGATTATGTTAATGTATGAACTATTTGTGAGAAGAGCTGTTCAAACATTAAAATCTGTTAGCAATCAAAGATGGACAATTGTAGCTGAGCTATAAATAACTATTCAGCATTCTGTCACATGCAATGAGAGACATAATTATATTCAATAATTAACATAAAGACAACTGGTTCCCTATAGTTATAAATTCAGTAATTAACATAAAGGTAACTGGTTCCCTGTAGTTATATCAGCATCGATTGTAGATTAATAGTCTTTGTTGACAACATTTGCATAAACCATTTGCATAACCAATCACAGACACTTTTCATCCATTTCTAAAACTGTTTAAACCTAGACAATTATATATGATCTACTTCTATTTCTAGCCTCAAGTAAATGTATTTATCACTTGCAGTAAATATTCAACATTCATAAATAGAGCTGAAGTATTCTCAATTGCTCATATTAACAAGAGTTAATCAATTATTATTACTTTAAACTTTTCTTAGTCTGACAATTTTTTTTTCTAGACTTTTTTATAAATTAATTTCTTGAGCTAAAGTCTCTTTAATCATTAGAATTAAGTTGATTTGATAAATTTATCAACAGAGCCATCAATGTAAGCCTTCGTTCAAGCAGCTTAACAAAGTTTACCATACCTAGTACTTTGTTGTACCAATAAAATGAAAGTTTAGCCTGTGCTAAGCTTGATTTAATGGTAAGTCATTTAATTATTCATGGTAAATAGCCAATATCATTCCAACTACCAACCATTGAATTTGACCGTGAAATGACAATACCCCAAAAAGCAAGAAGCATGCAATTAATATGACTTCAGCCAATCATCATTTGCAACAGTTTAAAAGTGAAGGAAGCAAAAGAAAGGTGCACCTTACCAAATTATTTTTAGTTTTTGCAACATTTGCATCATCTGGCCCTAATTGTTTCAGGTAAATTTTTAATGCTCGTGTATAATAATGTTCAACCTGCAATTAATAAATCAGAGGGCATGCAACACTACACAACGTCTATAGAAATAAATATGTAAGTATATATTATATATACATAAAAAAATGTGCGGTGAAGCCTGGCTCTTTATCCTGAAAAGGGAGCTAACTGTGAATCTTCCGGCATTCCATTTTTGGTTTCAGTTTTATTTCTGATTTGGTTTTCGCACACACAAAAATCAATATACAATAACTTAACTCAAATCTCACATATGAAGTTCTCCAAATAAAAGTTTGTTCTAAAGTACAGGATTTTCACTAATAAAATAAAATCACTACATCAATGCAAATTTCACAGTTAACTCCCTGCTCTTCTAGCAAAATAAAACAGCTAATGGGCATAAATTTAGCAGAATTCCAGTAAAGCTAACAACAGAAAATAATCAGTTCCTTTCTTCCTATTCAACTACTGCAAGCAAACTGATTCCCTACAAAATAAAATAATAATAAAATAAAGAAAAGAACCTTGTGACCTTTACAACATCAAGAGATTGTGGGGGAACAAAATAAATTGGAATAAATCTCTTGTGGGCATGAAGAATGTGATAAAAAAAAATTTAATCTTATAAAAAGCAGTACAAAATGCATCTTTTCTTTTTTTTGCTAGTTAATCATCCGGTAAACTCCTGTTTGACAAACATGTTAGAATGAAACCAAAAACAGAGACATAGGAAATAACAAAAATAAAAAACCTGCGAATCTGGCAAAAATAAAAGACAGTTTACAAGAAGTTTGAGCCAGGTTACACCACAACTTTAAAACCACATTGATTTACAACTTCTCCACATGTAAAATTTCTTATGTATGAAACATGCTAAATATTTTCTTCAACTCCTAGACCAAACTTAAAGAAATTAAGCGATTGTTGATGGTTTTTGTGTACAAATTTCATTATGAATAAAAAAATTCTTTCCATTATGCTTAATGTTAAAATGTGGAATTTATCATTTATCTTTACTTTTTTGTGTTTCCCAATAAAATGATATCAAAGCAAATGATTCACCTTGATATTTCATAATCATTATGAATCAATAAATTGTGTGTAAATAAATGTGGTTTTAAAGGACATACATACATCATACAATAGTTGTATCTTACCAAGTTGTTTTTAGTTTTAGCTACATTAGGGTCATCAGGCCCTAGTTTAGATTCATAAATCTCTAAAGCCCTTTGGTAGTACTGCTCAACCTGCATGTTAGCATTGAAATCAGTCAAAGAAGCAATCAATACTAATTTATCATTTAATATCACATCAATGTAAATATCAATGTAAATACAACTTTAAGCTAACATAATATTCATTTTTCTAAAAAACCTGATTAAAAATGAAATAAATTATGTTAAACAGCCGAGATTTATCAAATTATAAAATACACAAATATAGATGTAAGCAATACGGACTTGGTATCATATTTTCCCCGATTCCTTGTTTTCTGAAAGTTATATCACTTGGAACAACAAAATACAGATAAATGGCATTTAGACAAATTATATTCAGTAAATAATTGTACACAATTTCTATATACTTTAGTGAATATGATCTTTTTACTGTTAAGACTCCTGAACATATCACAATAAAGGACGTTATACAGATCATTGCATAAATTTAGTTTTTACTTAATCAATAATGTTGGTTCATTTATTTTAGAATCAATCTGCAATTGTTCTATATTGATTTTTTTACCTCAGAAAGTTACTTACCTCCTCATATTTGCCTTGATTTTGACAAAGGAGAGCTAAATTATTTAGTTGCTTAGCAACATCTGGATGATCTTCACCTAAAACCTGAAAATATAAATAATTTAGCAGTTATAACAACATACATCCTTGCTGACAATTACATCTGTTTTTCCTCTGAGTATTCCATCTATCATTCATGTACTGATAAATTATACTGGGGCGTCAATTAATCTCTATAAACATTACTCATTGTATGATAGTAATAAACAATTCTGATGAAGCAACATGGCCAGTTATATTAGTTTATGCAGATTTTTTTTCAGTTTAGGTATAGCTTTAGTATAGGTCATATGGCGATGTCCAAGCTTTCCTAATGGTGGAATACCTCAGGTGCCCTTCCGGCACAAAAGGGCACTTGAGTAGAACCACCGACGTTCTGTAAGCTAGCTTGATTGCTTCCTCACATGAAAGAATCCAAAGTACCTGTCAGGATTCGACCTCACAGCGGTGAGAGGCAAGTGGTTTGATGTCAACAACCATAAACACACGGCCACAGACACCCCTAGTTCAATTGTGTAGGAAGCTATAAGCTTATAGACACACTCTCTTATCTGTTCCTGGAACCAAGCAGTACTAAGCAATAAATGTAATATTTCTTACTAAAGGAAACAACAGCTTGCCCCTGATGGGGTTTGAACCCAAATGGCTACTGACCCTCAGATTGGCAGTAATATTCTCAATCCAACTTTACTATAAGTAAAGCTTTATAAACTGATATTATATATTTGAAATTAGTCCTCATATATTAGCAGGTACTTTATAATCAAGTAATTGCATGTGTTAAAACTAACTTTAAACTATTACCAGGTACTAAAAGTGAAAGGCAAAAAACTTGCAGCCAGATGCCATTCCTGCTTTCTATCACCTATCAGGCTGCAAGACTGTTTGGTTTTGTTTGTTTTCTCTTATGATAAGGTTTTTCAGTTACAACAGTGATAAGACATGTCCTTTGTACTGATAACAATGTAATACCTTTTCTCTAATTTCTAATGCCCGTTTACACAAAGGTTCGGCCTCTTTATATTTTCCACGTTTACCATATAACACAGCTAAATTATTTAATGTGGCGGCTACCTGAAAATGACAGAAACATTGGAGTTAATTGGAGTTAATTGGCAATCATTTTATCTTTAAGATAAATGTTATATTAATTAAACACTAAATAACAAAACATGTACAGCTTCATTTTGCATATATTCTATGCATATTAATTACTGCACTTCAGTAACATTGCTTTTCATTGCATAATCATGACATATACATGGCTGCTCTCAATTTATTCAGTACTTTTTGGATTGTCTTCAAATAAAACAATTCTGCTGTATCATATAAATTTGTTACAAAAATGTCTGACATGTTATATGACCATGCATATGTATAAATGATTTTTTGCAATATAACCCCAGCCTTTATAGCCATATAACCATTTATACCGAGCCATATAACCCTGTCACACATCTTTATATATAATAATATATGGACTGAAAACAAAATACTTTATTACAACTGTAAAACTTGTGTTTTCGGGTTTTGTTCCTGCTTACTAGAATGTCTATACCCATCAGATCATACTTCAATATTTGTACTCATAAGCAAATACATTTAGTATTCAAAAATTAAGATATTCAAAACACTATGTAACAATATAAGTATTATAGTTAAAATGAAGTTTAACTGATCAACAACCATTCCCAAAAGCAAATGTAAGTGAATATAAAATAAGAAATATTTGAAGGCCTGAAAAAAAGAACACAACATAGGCAATACGTCTGCATTCTATAAGCAGCATTCTTCAATACATAGCATCAATATGAATGTATTTGAACATAAGGATATACACATATTTATCTCTAATGCACTCTTGTCAGTAGGTTCTTTGTTTGTTATATATATTGCATGCAATGGACAGACATACAATTTTAAAGGTCAATGCAAGGCAAGGTGTTCCATCTTATCAACAATACATCAAATACATCAATCAGTCTGAAACAAGCCCATTATGGCCAATAGTGAGTCATGCATTCATTAATATTCCAATATTTCTTCTCCAATGACAAGAAATTTAAAGAAAAAGAAAATGAGCAGTGTCACGACAAAACCAACATAGTGCGTTTGCGACCAGCATGGATCCAGACCAGCCTGCACATCTGCGCAGTCTGATCAGGATCCATGCTGTTTGCTATGAGTTCCTCTACTTGTAATAGAGTTGGTTAGCGAACAGCATGGATCCTGATCAGACTGCGTGGTTGCGCAAGCTGGTCTGGATCCATGCTGGTCGCAAACCCACTATGTTGGTTTTGTCATGACACGGCTCAAATAAATTGTGGAGATCTAAACAAACAGATAAACAGATGTTCTCAAACAGAAATGCTTCACAACTTCAATATTTCCTGATCATTTAAAGATAACTGAATGAATAAAGACGAAACTTAACTTAATAAAAGAAGAAGAAACCAAGTCCAGGATCTACTCAATAATAAATATAATAATAAATGTATTCCTGTGTCAAATTATCCAAATTGCAAGAACTTGCAAGCAAAATCAGGCAATAACTCAACCAAAAGTTAACTTAACATTTTTTTTAGCTCTGTACTGGTTTGTAGCAGTATTTAACTGTCTTGTTTCAGCATTGTGCTGATTTGAGTATAGTAAAGTATTTACTTTATTTCTTACAGTACTTTGCTAGTTTGTGACAGTACTGTACTGGTTTATTTACATCACAGTATTTCACAGGTATGATACAGTACTTGCTGGTATGCAAACAATATTTGGGTGGTATTATACATTAAGGGTATGTTTCAATATTTTGATGGTATGTTCCAGTATTTTTGCTGATTTATTCCAGTATTTTGCTGACTTGTGGTTTATGAATTTGTATTTTGCAGATTTTTTTCCCATATGGTGTATTTCCACTTTTACTGGTAGAGGAAAACTTAACATAAGGTGCCACTGTGTATTATTTCTGGCATAAATGGGCACCTGAGTAGAACAACGGACATTCCGTAAACATGAAAGAATCTAAAGACCCTTGCCTGACTCAAACCTACAACAGTAAGAGGCAACAGGCTTGAAGTCAACAACAATAACCACTTGGCCACGGACACCACTTATTTTGCTAATTTGTGGAAGTATTTTGCGGGTTTTATATCATCTTTTCCTGATTTGTTACAGTATTTAGCTGGTTTGTTATAGTATTTTGCTGGATGGTTACAGTATTTAGCTGGTTTGTAACAGTATTTTGCTGGATGGTTACAGTATTTAGCTGGTTTGTAACAGTATTTTGCTGGATGGTTACAGTATTTTGCTGGATGTTTACAGTATTTTTCCTGGATGGTTACAGTATTTTGCTGTAACGTTACAATATTTTGCTGATTTGATATAGAATTTTTATGATTTAGTACAGTACTTTGATTGATGTTTTGTGCAGGTTTTTATTTTTTGCTAGTTACAGTATTCTGCAAATTTGTTACAGTATTTTGCTTGTTCGCTATAGTATTTAATAAATCAAAGAAAGTTTTTGAGCAAGTTTTTTTAAATCCGTAAACCATGATAGCAAGATAAGCTAGTAACCTACAATTAAAGCTGCATAAATGTAAAATGTCTAAGTCTGGCATAAACTTAAGAAGAAAACAATCACCAGTAAAATAAAGGACATGACCTAGTGTAATTTTAATTGCATTCAATGCTAAATTAAGCTTGACTCAACATTTAAACAATGTAGCTATTGTTTTTGACTTAAAAAAATTTACTTGCTAAAAGTTAATGAAGTCATTAAGGGAAAATGTCTGAAAAAATTGTATTTCTTTCCATAAGTTATTCAATACAGTTTATAATTTGTTTAACATTATTATGAAATATTTTGTCTATTTACCCAGCTTTCAAAGCATTAAAGGCATGAACTAAATAAAGGAAAATCTTAAGACCAATCAAAGACTCAGAACAGTTCTGCACATTCAACAGTCATCTACTTCACATGATTTACACAAAAGATTTAGCAAAAGCAATGAGCTGCCTCCTTCTTTTCTTTCTTTTCTTTAGTGCATTTTTTAATCTAAAGTAAGGCAAAAGACTATAATCAAATACTAAACTGAAAAGCTTGAGAAGCAAAACAAAAGAACAAAAACCAACTCAAAAATAGAAGACAACCATAACACAATGATACAAAATAAAAGTATGATAATAAATATATAATAATATATAATAATAACAACCAAAACAACAGCCTTTGAAATCATCCCATAAAGAACATACAATCTGAGATACAAAAATAAAACTGTGGTAGAAAGGATATACACAATACAACAATATGCATGCTCCGATGGTATAACTCACAGCCGGGTGATCTGGTCCTAATGTTTTTTCACGTATACCTAGGGCATCATTTAATAAATTGGCGGCTTCCTTATATTTCCCTTGATCTCTGAAATAATGTCATATTAAAATACAATAAGAGACAGAACAGGAAATTAATGTGTGTATTCCGCACTTTATCATCATTTATAACTGACATAACATCACACGACACTCCCCACGAATAGATTGAGACAAAATACCACAAGTCAAAATTTGAGAACATAATTCTATGGAATTATACCAAATTCTCCTTTGAGATGGTAAACTAGTGAAATGGTAGACTATTTATAGTCAATTCTCAGTGTGCAGTTACAGCATTTCACAGCATGTTAATTAAAGCATATGCTTGTTACAGCTTAACTTTCCTATAAATAACACACAAGAATTAACTTATTACACAATAAAAATTGATTTTAATTAAAATTCCAATATTCCCATCTCCTAAAGCACGTTCCCAGACACTGGTGTGTTCATGTTAAATTATTTCAGTTTAACAGACAGTCAGTGGAGACATATTGAATATTAAACTATAGCATGAAAACTTTATCTTCCTGAATTTGTTTAAAGGAACGTCTTCCTTTGAAGTTAGCACTATCAATCCTTATACAAAGATTTTTAATATTTAAAGGATCATAGTCTTCATCAATGAGAGACTGCACAGACATGCTGGCTAGCATTACTCTATACTGGTGACATAGATCTGACATTGACTCTGGTCAAATTTTCATTTCTACATCTATATCATGGAGAGTGTGCAGGGAATTATGTCAGTTTTAAATGATAAAATTCCTGAAATAATACTGTGACAAGTATCTGAGAACTACCAGCTAAAATACATCATATTTTAAACCAGTTTCATTATTCCATTTTTTTCCAATTTTTTTCTCAATCCCATTATCCCAACAAAATCAACCAGCAAGATTTTTTTAACATTTTGAATAATTTGCATATAAATTGAAATTTTGTGATAAAAAATGATAATGCCCAAATGTCACAAATTGTTCTAGAAGTACAGCTTAGTACAATTTCAATAAACCAGATGTATTACTATATTGAAGTATAGTTCTCAAAAACTGTTACAGAATGGATTTAAAATACACAACACTCACTGCCGGATGATCCCGTCCGAGAGTTTTTTCCCGTATTTTGAGAGCATCGTTGAGAAGATTACCCGCTTCTTTATATTTTCCTTGATCTCTGTAAGTGTTCCGCAGACACAGAAAAGTAATAATAACAAACATACATTTATATCTCATCTTGTATAACATTTTAAATCTGGCGCTCCTAGAAATTGGCGGCAAAATTTTTCACTTATGAAACAAATATAATTTGTTTGAGTTTGAATGCAAGTTTGCTACAGTATTTTGATTAAATACCGGTGGCCCGATACGGTTGAACATTTCCTCCTGAGCTATATTGGAAGCCTTGGTTTCCAAGAAATTATGTTGATATAGTTGTAATTTACATAATGATATGGTTACACAGTAAGTTTTAAGCTGTCCGAGGTAGAGGTGGACTAAAGGACAACCTAAATATATTATTTCATATAATTGGGTAGAACCACCAACCTTCAACGAGTGATTAAAATCTAAGCCCTTAACCACTCTGCATAATGAGGTTCCAAACTTCAATTAAATGTTGGTTTCAGAACTGCAATTCTTGGACAAGTCATAAAAAGTCTGACACCTTGACCACTGTATGTTGGAGGTCCCAACAATCAATTAGATATTGGTTGTTATCTAAAGTATCATACCTGTATACAAGGGCAAGAATGTTTAACATGGTGGCCACATCTGGATGATCATGCCCACTTGTTTTTTCTAAATCCTCTAAGGCCTGTTTACATAAAGGTACAGCAACCTCATAACGACCCTGTGAGGCGTATTGTATGACTAGATTGTGTAGAGTGCGTAATCGTGCCGGGATCTCATACCCTCCACTTGCCGCCTGAGCCATGGCACTAGGTTGTGACGGTGAAAGAACTGGAATTTATTACAAGAAATTATATATAACTAATTGAAAGAACTGATGTCACAAGACAAGAAAAATCATACATGGCATTTTTATATTAGTACTGTAAAATGTTATACAAAATATTTATGTTCAAAATTTGAACTGGGTTGAGAAATTTTTATAATGAGTCAATCTCTGTAAACTCAAGTTTTTAAGAATGAACAAAAGAACAGGGGTGCGTTTCACTAACATACTTACGTTATCATAACTTGAGTTTGATTGTAACTTTTTACGTAACTACAACTTACGTATTTATTTGTGTTTCACTAAACTTTCTGTGCTACGCATTTGTGTAAGTTAAAACATAAAGTTACGCTCACTTATTACTGGTCTGTTTAGTGAAACACACCTAACGTAAATTTATGTTTTGCATAGGTCCAAATTTATGTAAAAAGATACGCAAAACTTACGGAATGTTAGTGAAAAGCTCACCATTTTTCTAAAATAACCTAAGTTGTTACATACTTTGCAAAGCTAGCATATAAATTTAAACTTTTGATTCCATAATAAACATATATTCTTTTTCTCATCGGCTTCTGTTAAGAAAGAATTCATTTTCAGTTGATGGCGTAAAAGGCTAAAAGCTTATAAACACTCTCTAAATTTGGTTTTATTGTGACATACAAGTAATATGCATATTTATATTGCATACCTTCAGGATTATTAGATTCCTCATCATCCTCTGGGAAGCCCAGTTCTAGATTGGTACTTGTAGTTAATGCATTCTCTCCAGACTTGTCCTGCTCCTTCTCACCTTCAGACTGTAATATATATACACATACAGGGGGTTATATAATGATAATAGTGAAATATAAAATCATACCAATACTAATAGTTATTAGCTTACATGTATTTAACATTGAACAATACAATAGTTACTATACAGGAAATAAATGGATTTTACTACCATAGGAGTTCGAGGTGTGGTAGTACCAAATGTGATCTCTTCTAGCAAAATCCATGAGAGCCAAATGCAACTAAAAGACCATCCTGTCATAGCCGTTTCTTTTATAAACCTTGCCAAATTTTAACAATGTTTATTTAACCAAACATAAATGGGATAAAGCCAGCAAAGTCATTCCGGATCACACCAGAGTTTGATACAACTTGTTTTTCTGTTGGTCAATATATGTGCATGTGATACATGCGTTTAATGTATAAACATCTGTACAGGTATATAATAAAGCAATACTTCAGGACAAATAGACAGCTGGAGAAACTGTACTAGACTTTAGACAAACTGCTACCAAAATTAAATATGATTTCTCAAGCTGTATATGTATCCAAATATATTCAGCATTGTACAGAACAATGTTAAATAACCTGTTTATTCTATGTCCAAATTATAATGAGGAAACTCAAAATGTGAATAAACAATTTAACCTGATAAGAAACACATGTTGGTTTACTTATTACAATGCATCAACAATGCCTTTACCAATGTAACTTGTACTCTTTTGTTGTGCATTTTATTCTCTGTTGTCCATTGGAAAGGTCTTATGCACTCTGCTGTCCAATATAGGATATATTGGACACTATTAAATACAAGAAATGGAATGGATGGTCATGTGGTACATTTTTAAAGCAGCCACTGGATATTACATAGAAATATTGGGGATATTCTAGTGAAATATACATCCCAGAAGCGGCGAAATAAAATTTTTAGTTTCTTGTCCGTTTTTGCCAAGAGCTATTTTGTACTTGTCCATATGATAAATATATAGTAAATTCTGTTTCAATGTCTTCCAGTGCAACAATCCTAACAGGCACAATAACAATTTTCATACATTGATCTCCAAATGCAATAAATTAGCAATAAAATCAGTGAATGAGTTCTATATTCCAATGAAAAGAAGTCCATTTGTGAATGTTACAATAGCAATAGATTGAAATTGAAACAAAGAGCATGTTTACTAACTTATTACCATTTCACTGAGATTGGCATCAATGCATAATTATCAAAAATCTAATCTATATTCTTAATTAATCTATCTACACAAACTTACAGTCTGAGATTCATTTGTATCGTATTTCTTCATTTCATTCATAAACTCTAAATGTTTCTTTTCTTCCTCTAATATTGCTACCCGTTGTTCACTGACTTGCAGTTTCTGTTGTGTTGCATCTAGCTCATCTCTTAACCAGCCATTTTCCTGGCACAGTCTCCGAACTTTAGCACGTAATTTTTGTTTTTCAGCTTCTACGTGTTCATGGTGCTGTGACAATGCCATCATCACCTGAAATTAATGATAAAATTTTAAAATAAATGTCTTCATTTTCTTTGAAATTTCATATCTCTCATTCAACAGTGGAAAAGAACAATATTTGATCAAAAGGATCAGTATGTACAAATAATGACGTTTTTCTTTCTTTTGAAGTTATGACATTGATATCATCTTAATTGCCAAAAAAAAAATCTAGGTCATCCACTGACAACATGCAATCATTATATCACTATAAAATAAAAAAAAAAATGTTGCTAAGATGAAAATATTAATGATCATAACTATTCTGGGATGCAGTATTGATGATTTCACAAATATCCATTCAATTTCACAACTATAAATGAGATGATTCTAAAGTAATCAAGTTCCAACCAACAAACCTTCCAATAGAAGACAACATATGGCACACTTTCTTTTTTGAAGAGAAGCTCAAAAATACAAAAACCTATTATTTCAATCCCCACTCACCTGTGCCTCACTTAAACCAAGTTCTATAGTTTCCAGAGACTTTTTCAGAATGTTTGTTTTTTCTTCTATCAAATTAGTATCAGCACTTTCTTTCTTTATAGTTTTCATTGTGGTTAATAATCCATTGAGAATCTGGTGATGTTCATTTTTGAGGGTATCCAGTCCCTGTATCACTGTTTTAGTGTTGGAGATAATCTCCTCCTGTGAAAGCGACGTCATTTTGCTGATCTCCTCAAGTCGCTTACTGAAATATACAAAACAACAATTGATAAAATTTCTGTTATTAAAAGTATGCTTCTTAAAATCTCTCTGACATATGTAAGTCTTACAAATGAGTCTTACAAATGTTTACCATCTAGTTCCATTCTTCTTTAGTAAAATACTCTTATCTCATTTTATTTTGCTCATGATGAAAGCGTTTAGTTTATTTGAACTACTATCAAATCAATGTCCTGAACATTTACTGATGTCATACAAGGAGACATAGTCTATATTCAAAGCTTGTAATTAAAACAATTAACAGAACTCAGTGTACAGCGGAATAAATCGCAAAAAAAATCTCTAGCAAGAACGAATTTGTAGACTTGAATGCCGCCCTTTCTTGTTGATCTTGTTTTTCATATTTTACAATTGATCCACTCAATGAGCAGCATTCTGGTATGTCCTTGGTTTTGGGCTAGGTAGGGGACCACTGATGATTTTTATAGTAATTAAAATCAACTCTTAAATTTAAGATGTAGAAAATGGATATTCAGAATCAACAAAATTAAAAATCCACTGTCAGTTCTACTTGCTTTTCCTGTAAATCAGCAATTTTGAAGTGAACAGGGGCCCTCTAAATACTGTACTGTAGCTCTTTAAAATGTGAATTACTAAGCTGTTTAGAAAATCTTAAGTAGAAATAATAAATAATTTTGTAAATAAATTAACAACAATGTTGATGCAGAGTCCAATTTTTACCATAAATACTATTTTAAAACTAACTACTGTATAAAATTCATTGACTGGTTTGCTCTGTAACTTTCATATAAATATCTTTTCATTCAAATAAATGTATTTTCAAATCTATATTGTTATAACATGGTAAATCAATTTAAAATGAGAGGAATGACATGTCCCAGTTATTGTTTTCTGAAAGTACATTGTGAACATTACAAACATTTTAAAAATGGTTTAAAAACACAGTGTTTTGTCTCAGTTACAGTATAATACCACTTGAAAGATGACATTATTTTTTAAAAATATATTTAAAAGAATGAACAAGGATAAAAAACACCACAAAAATAGCATTATTATTATGTCAAACATTTTTAACACCACCACAATAATCCTTTAGCATAGGCTTATGTTGTAATTGTCCAGCTTAATTTCACTTAAAAAATTTGAAAATCTTTCAATTTTACAGTTTTACACAGTAGTAAGAATCATGATAATATTTTATAAAGATTTGAAAGTGACGGTCAATACATGACCAGTACACTATGCCTGAAGACATTAAAGATAACTATCTTTTCTCTATCATCACACATATACACATGTACAAATTCAATATATTTTTGTATTTGCCAGTTTGAACATTTTCCTTGCTGATATATGAGCATTAATTTATGTTGTCCTGCTTTAATTTTGGAAACATTACAAGTAAGTTGAAAGGACTTCGACATCAAAATATAAAATAGAGCGGTCAACAGTAGAGAGCCTGGTCAGACAGTAGAGATGTCCAGACTGGTATGGCTTTACACTGGTGGTAAAGGCTCTGTTACTTTTGCCACTAGCTTTCTAATCAACAGATACATCTTAAATGATAGCATAAATATCAACACCATACAGACTTACTAAGGGGGTGAAAATTAGCATGTTTTTAATCAATGTACACTGGGATCCTATGCACAAAATGAGAACTGTATGACTATGTAACCTTTCCAGCACGAAACATATGGTAAAGATTTCATCTGTGGTCTATAAAATGTGTGTACTAAATACTTCATTTAATTACCTATTGTAATTTTCATTCCAAGAACTTAAGAAATCAACATAGTATAGAACATTTCTGTTGTTAAACATGTACAAATGTATTTCAGATAAAATAACCAAATTTTGTAAACAACCAAATTTTGTAAACAACAATGAAATCTACACTCTGCACTTCATGCATTTACTATCAGTTAATCAGACAAAATAACTGAAAACAACTTTAACAGAGTCCTACAATAATTTCTATAGTAAACAGTGTAGCCAGATAGTAAACATGTACATGTATATCAGAGTAAATACGGTACGGAAACTCAGCCTCATCAAGATCAATGCTAGATTCACATTTTTCTCTTTCCAGTGTAAGCTACTGTAAACTACGCAATTTGCTCTAGTATGTCCAATATTGGATAAAAGTAGGCAATGAGTCATCCTGAACAATACAATAATAATATAATATCTCACAGTTTCACTTTTACACAAGACAGCTTCCGATTCAAAACACCCTGATTATCACAACTTGAAAAAAAATCCTTGATAAAGCAGTAGTAAATGTTCCTATTATAAATATCTATAATACACACATAATGGAAGGAAAAGAAGCAACAGTTAATGCCATTTTAACAATTTCACTAATACATGTATAGTAAAGGATCAATAATGAAGTGACACCATTACTCACAGTTTATACAACTTAGCAGTTTCCGACTCAATCATGATTACAGATATATATTGTAGAATACACTGCAAGTAACTCCTCTTAATATCCAAAACATATCCACCATCGCAAATCCACTAACACTTCTGACATTTCCTATTCTGATATAACTTGAGGGCCAACAGGAAAAATCAATACAAAAATGTACACCAAACTACCATAAAAACGAGTTTATTTTCTGCTCTCTAGATTTCACTATTGCTCAATGATACCTATGTACAGAAAATGTACTGGAGCAACTTTTCACTGTGTGAAGCAGACAAGCTTATGATAAAACTAGCAGACGACACCTGAATCTGTCGCCCCTACTCTAGAAAATGAATTGTTCCAAATATGGAATGGATGCTGGTGTTCAATAAATACTTGAAGCCAGCAAATAAAGTCAGAATATTGATTATAGACCTTGGCAGACCCGTGATCAATACGCTCTATGAGAAATAGTTACAGGCCTTCACTAAAACCAATATGTACTGGCCAATTGTTGATTTTCTGCTTATAGTTACATGCATTTTTAAATAAATAATCTATTTACTGATAATTGTTATGTTTTCTTAGCTTCAATATAAGAAAAAGCAATTTTTATTGCTATTGTTGTGCTAAGCCTTCTGGGCATGTATACATAACCAATAGCTGAATAATTTATTGATAATCAAAATCAACACCATTAATGGCATTATTAAAATATGTTCATAATGTAATATGAATTTATTTCCCATACACATTCTTCTACTTTCTTCTCAAATTTCTTATTTTATTACAAAATATAATAAACATAGAGTCATTAAATCATGATATCCTCAGATATTATTTGTACTATAAATTCTGTAAGTACATTTCAAAATAAAGTACATACTGTGAATCTGGCTAACAAACAAAAGAACAGTTTTTGGCTCAAGTTTTTATAGACATAACCTGGTAAGAAAGGAAAAATACCTTTCAAATATGCGCAAAAAACTTTGTTGTTAACTCACAATGCCAAGAATGTTACCAGGTGTATTGTAATGATGAGTAAAAAAACAACAACACCAACAACTTCTTATATAATATAAAACTGTTTCTCTACCATATCTGCTCTAATAACTTTACTATTGATATTCAGGAATTAACAACATGGATCCAGCCACAAGTTCAAGGGGACTAACAATTAATGATGTCCAATAACTAATTCAAGCAATCTGACTCCTTACTAAACCAGGGTACTTACTGATTATATCTTACATGTAGCAAATACATACTGCAAGGTATTTTATAAAGTTACAATTTCTATGAAGCCAGTATTATATATTTTTTCTGCATCCACTTAGATGGTACGGTATACGAAACAGGATGCTGGATATCCGGTAAACAATATTAAGAATATATATCTAAAAAATAACAAGAATGAAAGGTGATTTCTAGTATTTTTGGAAAGTTGCTACCTAGTACAGTAGAAGAACCACACACGTTTTCTTCTTGTAGTGATGTACAGGGGGGACTGACTGTTTAACTTCTTCAACAAAATGGGGAAATCTGTCATTTGAATAAACTATTCAGGAGAAAATTGAGGGGGGGGGGGGGGCGGTCTTCCTAAGTCAGTCAAGCATAAAATAACCTCACATTTTGACACTTTTATTATAACCTGGTGATAATACACTGTGATTAATCTTCAGAGAGTTTTTTTTCAATTCCTGTGCATTATTATGATCCAAACACTTCATATCCAGGTAAAGGTCATTAAATATTCAAATGTCTGGAGTCAATATTGCTAAATAATATGTTGGAATATCAAAAGCTACTGGTATATTGTGATCTAACTAATTTTAGAATGTAAATATCTAAACATAAGTAAGTCGAGCAGTTAATTTTATATATAAACATTACATATCAAGGCCTTTCATACAATATAACATGTTCAGTGGACAAAGTCGATTTTGAAAAGCTATCAATATATCATTCATTCTAATGTATAAATATTTTGTTATAGTAAATCTGTTATTTACTTAATTACTATGATATATTTGCACATTTTATTTGCAGCAAAATAGTGATATGGTCAATTCAATATGGAGCAGATATATTGATTATCAAGTGATAATGGCAAGGAGGGCTCAAATGTTGCTTTGCTTTATCACAATGCAAAGATGAGTATAGTAATTTAAAGTGCAAGTAATAAACCAAATTATCAAGAATCTCTAAAACTGTATATCTTAAACTCATAATTATATAAAATTATTTAATTTATTTTTATTTGGATTATGTTATATACATTATAAACAAATTCTTTAGGACAATCCCTGAACTATGCATTATCAGTATATACATTATTATGTAACATAATCATGTTAACTATAAACTCCACGGAGAATATACAATAATAACAAATGAAGTGTAGCAAATAGTTTTGTCACTGAAGCAGAAACAAATAAACAAAAATTTACTTAAATGAGCCGCGTCACGACAAAACCAACATAATGCGTTTGCGACCAGCATGGATCCAGACCAGCCTGCGCATTCTACTTGTCATAGGGTCTGTAAGCGAACAGCATAGATCCTGATCAGACTGCGCGAATGCGCAGGCTGGTCTGGATCCATGCTGGTCGCAAACCCATTATGTTGGTTTTGTTGTGACACGGCTCAAATATACTAAGAATTACATATAGACAAGAAAAATAAAATATACAATAATTATTCATGACCTCAGAATTTTCATCACACATCAATTTTTACTCCAGTTCACTTTGAATATACACAATGAAATGTCCATTTGGAATTAACAATGCATTAATTATAAAGTATAGTCTACTGTTTTAACAAGGGAAGTTATTGAGGAGAGAGTCTGACTGACTGGAATACACAGCTACCTGGCGTGACATTATTGATTCCCTCATCACATCAAGATCAAGGATCAGGCTAATAGAAAAACTCACATCCTTGTTACATTACCCTTTCACTCATTCATTTCTATACATTTTCTGTCAGCTAGCTTGAAAGTAAATAGCTCTTCATTATTAAATAATGTAACTTTATAAAAGCTATTAGTGATTCAATAGCTGATAATGATTTCATAATGTAAGTTTGAAAATTTATATGAAATTTATTGAAATATGAATAATATTGGACTGATTTTAATGGATTTGCAGAATATCTTACCCGACTGTAAAGTTGTCACTTACCTATTTCATACATATTTTGAAGAAAGTATGATTTGAAAATAAACCTATTATTTTCTTGGAAATAATATCCTTTAAATAATCATTTTAGACCACATAATTGCACATTTTCAGCACATTAAACAATATACACAAACATTTACATACTCATCCATTTTGTTAAAACAAATCTGAAACTGGGAGCTCTTCATCCTTTCTTTAAAAGAAGGAACAAATGGCCCTCATCAAGTGAATTTCACTGTAAAACTATTCTTTATGCAGCTATTCATCACAAGACCTTAAGCTTTAAATAAACACATCTGTTACCTCAAGAATGTGCCATGCAACAGGCTGATTCATTTCCATATAAAGCATAAATTCCTTTCTTAACAATCTTGTATGTATTTTTGTTCACTACCAAATACAGCAATTACATATAAATGTATGTCCTCAAAATAAAAAAATAAAAAAAAAAGACCAGTTTTTACTGGCCAATAATTTGTTCACATATTTAAATTGTTGAGGACAATTTTTCCTTAGAGCTAGTGTATCTAGGTAACTGACTTCTAGTTTATGAGCTTGAGCACTAATCATTCATGTGCTCTCTGTAAAAAATATTTTTTTGAAAGATCAGTCAGGTATGCCAAAAGCCATCTATTCCTCCATGAATAGATTAAATTGATATAATAAAGGAGTTGATCATTACTTACAAAGTTGAAACAATATATCAGAAAAGGTTTTTATTTCAGATGCATTGCAAAGTTCAATTAAATGCATTTATCAATTTGTTTTCAAAACTTTTACTTTTCCATTCTGAACAAAACTACTTACAATTTTTGGTTCACAATAGCACCCGAACCCACAAGTTAAATGCATGATAAAGCATTAATTTGAAATGAGCCATGATTTTACCTTTAAGCTGTCCCAAATATACTCCTTAGTATAGGAGACCAAATGGTACAGATAAATGAGTATCAAATAATCATCTCTACCAAAGTAAAATCAGATTTTAATTTGTCTATATGTAGGAATAACAGTATTTCTGTCAAACACAGTCTGAAGTTACTTAAATTTAATTACCTAAATACATGTATGACAGGTCCTGAATATTGTATGTCCACAATCATGTAATTGCTAATTTTTCCACATTTAAGATAGCTGACTCAGTATCGCAGACAAGTAGTAATCATGGCACAGAAAAAAATATACCAAAGCCCAGGACTAAAACTCTATAACCAGAGCTTCAAATACCAAACCCTCTCCCTAAACTAACCTAGTCAGTCTGAATGAAGACCTTTTTAAAGTATGCAGTTTAAATCACTTCTGCCTTAGAATTTTTAGGACATCTAAAAACTGTTTCTGCTGTGAAGTTATTGTTAAAACTGCTTTATGTGTAGTAGCATGAATCAGTAATCAATAACAGCTAAGCTGGATGTTCCGATACATGCAAGGGAATGCAGACAGGTCTATTGATCAGGAAAAGGCTGCCTTTACCAGGGACAGTACAGAGCCATAGTGAGCTATCATTCTAGAAAAACAACCTCTCATAGCATCCTTAAACTTTCAATTGACATTTCTTATTTCTTTTTATTCTCAGAGTGTCTGAGAGGTTTCTATAAAATCTTTGAAAATAACTGATGTTAAAGAATATTATTTTGATCAATTGTGGTCATAAATGAGCCAATCTTAATAAAATTGTCCTCTTTAGTCAATAAACAACAAGAGCTTCCCTGATGTGGGGCAAATATACACGATGGCAAAATGTGCCTTCATTTATTGTTGTAAATGGCAATGATGATTTTCCCATCAAATGCTTAAGAAAAATATACAGTCTATTTTTTTTTAAAGTAACAAGATAACATACATCATGTATAAGTAATAGAAGATATCAACCGAACTAACTTTATTTCATTTTGACTAAACAAAGTCAATTGTATCAATTTTGCAATAAATTGATTGCAGAGAAAACTTCTGGTTTGTTATAACATAATTGCATGCCAAATATAAACACAATCATTGAAATCATTCAAAAGTTATCATGCAGAAGTGCAGAAGAAAACCCATTCATCAGATTTTGATACCTTTTGTGGCTACTCTTTCTTACTCCCTATTGCCCTTTTAAGCC